GTATTTTTTTTTTTGTAAATTTCATTATATGCGCACTATACAGTAATCATCGTGCTATATTGTTAAATAAGCTGAAATGAAAATTAAAATTTTTTTTTATTTTTAATTGTTAAAAAAAACTTTTATATTTAGAAATAACCTTTTCATCCACACAAGTAGATACACAAACATTGCTGAACATTACGTTATCACACTTATAGCACGGCGTATTATAAACATTTGTGGGCATAATTTTCCTTTGTATTTCGAATAGTCTCTCAGTTGAAAAAAAAGGCTAGAACCTTTTAGATAAAGAAAAATATTCTGTCCATAAACTTAGTGTTTTAAATAGTTTATTACGAATTGGTGAAATTTTTTCAAACTTGTAATTTTATTCAAAACTGTTTAATTCAAAAAAATAAACAGTATTGACGACAAATTAATTACTGATCAAGTGATTTAAAAATAAGGATAAAATAAAAATTTCAAATAGAAAAACTCACATAGAGTGATATGATGGGTAATGGCCTAACCTAATAATTGCACCTCGTAAGATAAAACATCCGGAAGAAATCATCATCATTTGGAAAATATCTGAGACCCCCTTTCAACAGTTTTTCAAAAAATACCTCAGATTTTGTTGGAAACCCCAAGCTTATCATTGAAGACCCCAACCCTATGCTTATTCTTGAAATCTTGGTGTCTCCAATTGAAGGTCGCCGATGAATGGCTGGGGTCTTTGTTGAAATCTGGGGGTCTCCCATGAAAAGCTGGTGGTTTCCGCGCGATACACTTTTGGGGTCTTCGATCAAGCTGTTGTGGTATCCAAAGAGAATCTGTATTCGATGAAAAGCTTGAGTCTTCAATACAGATTTTGGGGTCACCAATGAGATTAAAGTGGGGTTCTGTGATGTTCAGGGATCTCCGATAGTATACTTCTATGTTAATGATATCTTCTCAGACTCGCTAGATAACTGTACAAATTATGGTGCGGTATAAAGACGACTTTTTTATTCAAATTTAGATTTTTAACAAGATTTTTTCGAAATGCAAGTTTACGAGTAATCAAAGAAAAGTTATTTTAATTGACAACTTCTAAATGGTGTGGTAACAGTTCGCCCAATAACGTTTCACCCAAAATAATGTTTCACCCAAAATAACGTTTCACCCAATTCACGTTTCACCCAAAATACATTTCACCCAACTCATGTTTCACCCAAACTACACTAACTTAAGAGTTTCACCCAAAATAAACAAAACATTATTTGTCTAGTTGGTAAAGTTGGGTTACGGGCAGCATTGTTAACAACTTCATCCTCCAGTTGTTTGACACGCTGGCGAAGCAGTTGAGAACTATGGTTGTGCTCTCCTTGTAACTTCTTGTATATATATATATATATATATATATATATATATTTATATATAAATTTGGCTTGTCTGTCTGTTTGTTTGTATCCAATAAACGTCAAAACGGCTGAACCGATCGGGCCCAAATTTTTTGTGGGACCTTACGGAGCCCCAGGGAAGGTACAGTCCCAGTATTTAGACTCTCCCGTTTCAGATTTGAGTGGATATTCATGACTATTTTGATCAATAAGAATGGGTTTCACCATGGTCAGATAAAATGTGGTTTTGCAGATTTAGAACAAAAAAGTTGCGGATTTACAACAATTTGCATTAATATCTATATATAAATTTGGCTTGTCTGTCTGGTTGTCTGTCTGTTTGTTTGTATCCAAAAAAACGTGAAAACGGCTAAACCGATCGGGCCCAAATTTTTTGTGGGACATCACGTGACCACAGGGAAGGTTTATGAATGATCAAAACTTCAAATATTTGTCTCCATCAAAATTCGATCTTCATTAAATTTTTGAAAATTTTGAAAATCCACGAAATTTGTTGTGAAAATCCGCGAATTATTTTTGTTTTTTTTTACGATGTACACAAAGAGAACATGTTCACAATTAATTTAGAAGATGGGCGCGAAGCGCCCTCTAAGGCTAGTATTTGTATATATGAGTCGACCCACTCAGATTAGATTTTTTTAACCAATCTAAAAACATTCCCACAATTCTCTTGTTTTACCCAATCAAAATTTGAGGCAAATCGGTCCAGGGGTTTAATTTGAGTTATGATCGGAAATCATAACTCATCGGCAATGTATTTTATAGAAGAATAAAAAAAAATTGGGTGAAATATAATTTGGGTGAAACGTAATTTGGGTGAAACGTGAATTGGGAGAAACGTTATTGGGCGAAACGTTATTGGGTGAAACGTTATTTTACCTAAAATTGGGTGAAACGTGATTGGGTGAAACGTTATTGAGCGAACTGTTACCACATCCTTCTAAATGTGTAAATATTTATGTGTATCGATGTTGTTTGACAGCTTGATTTAAATCAAAATTAAGAGCGAAAGTTGTTTTTATTTTAATGATATAATCGCCTACCACTGTATTCAATGATTTTAGATTTACAAGAACCTGAATATCCCCAACAATATAATCTGGTGTAAATGTCTAGGTGTGGTGGATGGTAAGTTGAGACCAAACTTATTTTAACTTCTTAAATCATTCATTTTATATCGACAGTGACTTTGTAGAACAAACAAATGAGTCTTTTTTCCAAGATCTCTCTTATTTTTGTTCAGCTTTTATATTGAAACTTATTGTTTTTCAATAAAATAAAGATTAAATTAATAAAAAAAAATTTCAATGGATGCAGAATTCTTATACAGAATCATGGGAGAAGAGGGGTGCACAAAAAACTTTGAGTTCGAAAATTTCCTGAAATTACTGGTCGAAATTTTTTTTCTTAATTCAAAAATACTTTAGACCTTATGAAAATGTTTAAATTTCATGAAAAACGTAAAATTTCTTGAAAACAGCTTCGTACGCGTAGTTTCATGTGACCTTCCATTAATAGAGTGCCATGTCCGATTTACAACGATACCCAATTAGACCTATGTTTTATTAAGGATACTGTAGATATTCTTATTGATTGTACACTGTAACCTCGAGTCTTCCTGCACTCAATCTTTAGATACAGGGTGTCCCACGAAACATGACAGTTGGTGAATAATTTACAATGTCTTCCCACATTTTTGTTAAGTCGATTGATACCAAAGACAATTATAACAATATTTTATGGGAGTCATGTTATAGTAAAATATATCTAAGCAAAAACGAAATAATCTGCAAAAAGCCTTTAATATGGAAGACGACATTCATAAAAATTTATCAATTGTCATGTTTCGTGGGACACCCTGTATAAGAATGAGGGTATTTACCGCATCTATGTGTGGACAACGATTTAAGGGTACTATTGTGAATCGGACTTTCCTGTCCTTAAATGGATCACTAGAAACTATCCTTACAGTTCTTTTAATAGTACGTATTGTAGGATTGATTGCAATGACGTTTGGAACAGTAATGCCTCCTGATGATGAAATATAACAGCTGTATTTGTTTACACAATATTAAAAATAAATTTACATTTTTCATAATGTTCTCTTCATATAATCAAAGAGTATCCATATTCATTTATTCGTGTGTACATTGGCAATTACAATAATTTGAATAAAATCATTTGCATACTGTCAGGGTAAAAAAAAGTTTAAAAATACATAACATTCAAACTTTAAACACATTCTTTATGAAAAATATTATCTTAAAAAAGATACTGAATTCTGCTATTCAATATTAAGCAATATACTTTTTACAAAGTCATGAAGTTTTTAACCCATGATTAAAACAAAGCTTCTGAACGTGAAAAGTAAGGTTTGTAAGTATTATGGGCAAAACTTAATTAAACGTGAAGATAATTGAGCGTTTACATCAAAGTTTTGTCGCGTAAGAATTGTCAAATTAAAATGAGATCCTGTAGAGATTGACATACACACTAAGAAATTGAGTCTTAAGCCACAAACTCAGATCTTTGCAACCTGATAGTGTAAATCTTCGATATTTCAAACTTATTTTACCTAACATAATTCATAGATTGAAATATAAAAGGCCTACAATATAGGCCTACAATATAGGGCTGCAAATATAAAAAAGGATTATAAAATCAGAATGTGGGGCACAGACTCTGTTCCTTTTAGCAAATAATAGAGTATTAACGGTAAACTGATGGGTTGCAAGTGCGGTACAAGTAGGGATGTGAAAGTTTTCATTTTTTTTTAAAACGATCTTTCGTTATGAATTGACGACCAAAAAACGAAAACAAAACGATCGTCTTTTTAAAAAGTCCGTTTTTAAAAAAAACGGTAGTTTTCAAAACGATTGTTTTTAAAAGAGTTTTTAATGAGTTCAAAAAGATTCGGTCGTTTTTAAAAACGATCGTTTTTATTAGAAAACGATCGTTATTGAAAACAGTCTGAAAACGAAACAAAAAACTATTAACAACCCTTGGGACAAGTAAAAACAAATGAGTTTAACAAGTTTCTGATTGGTGAGTTTCTTCTAAAATGTCTGCAAGATGTGAAACCGCAGCTGTCATAACTCATGAACTTTTTAAAATAATTCAAGACGACATCTACTGCGCTCTTGCTATGTGTCCTTATATATATCTTTGTTGACAGATAACAGCAACACGCTAGACAAATCCGGATAATAGGCTGGTTAGGATTTTGAAAGGGGTGTTTATTATCCCCAGACGATTCTTTCCCGATGGCCGAACAATACACACACAACAGAGTAACCCCGTCACAGAAATTCGATAACAAAATCTTTATTTCCTAAAAAATAACATAAATTATAGGTCGTGTTTAATTGTACAATGTTATAATGAATGTTAATAGTAGAAAAAATCTTACGAATTATTTAAGTATAGAAGGGGTGACTTATTTGTTGATCAGTATTGATATACGTTTTTTTAACTTCTGAAAAATTACAGTTGAATATTTAACGAAATTCACTTATGCTTCTTATGAAAATATTTTGCTTAACTTTAATGATTTCACAACAACGAAATATTTTAAGCTCCGTCGGAGGAGGACAATGGAATTTGCGGGCTGAAAATTTGGTTTGGCTGTCTCCGACAGGAGATTCCAGTATAAGACGACATTTTATAGAGGTTTTGAAATTAATGGTTAACAATCTTAGATTGGCTGTGGGTAAATCACTGGCTTGGGGCCTGATTACTTTTGACTGTCCCTGGAGGGTTCACTGGCCTCACTTGAACTTGAATCATCATCCTCTAGAAAGTCTTCATCTCCTAGAGGGGGGAGGTCTTCAACCGGAGTATCTAAGAAATAAAGAAATGCGATGTGAATAAAAACCTTGGGAATTAAAGGGAACACTTTCAATTTCATTTTTAACACAGCTTTCATCGTGAACTTGAAACGTATTTACAAAACAAAAAAGCGCTGAAAATATAAAAAAGTATTTAGTATTTAAAAAATAAAAATAATTATAACAATTCAGTCTTTAAAATCCATCCAAAATACAAATAATGTAGAGTATTAAATACAGATTATTTTGGAACAAATTTTAAACAAATCCCAGCAAAAATTTGTGATTTTGATTTTTCTATTTAAAAGAAAAGGATCAACTTAATGAGTGGAAATATGATAGCTAAGATTGGTATTCAATAGAAATAGGGTTCGGATTTTATGATTTATACCGAAACGATTTCCAAAATTAGGAGAAATATATCTTGTAATCAACATTTGTAGTTGTCTCTAGTTTACAAATTCAAATCCCTATGTTTGAGATTTCTTTTTGCAGGGAGACAATGTGTTACGTTAAAAGAATCCAAAGGGACAAGAACGAATATTGATCCTACCTATAGTTTTAGAAAGAAAAGCTTGAGAGTATTGACTGTACCAGGATTTACAGCTTGAATTTGATTTATTCCTGGTCAAGGTTCCAGGAGGGGTTTTCTCTCCTACCTTCCTTAATATAGGAGTAGCTCCGAGTACAGTTGGCAGTTCAGCAGATTTAGAACTGGGAGCTACAGAAGTTGAGATCTTAGAGTCAAAATTTCTAGAACTAATCACTTGGCCCGTTGGAGAGCTTTTTTCATTTGAGTCTGATGAGTTATCTTTAACTGATCTTTGATCACTATCAGGGGAACTTGGCTTACTTGTAGTTGTAGATGCATTTTCGTCAATTTTTAAGTCTTCGCTTTTATTATTTGAGGCCGATTCACTGGGTTGGCATAATTCACTGAAATAAAAATAAAAAATCTTTAAACACTTGATAACGCTCAGTTAAGAAATTTTAATTCTGAAGTTTGTGTTTTCCAAAGTGCCTTAACATCTTATTATTTACAATAATAATTTCATAACATGCAGTCAAGTTTTAATATTTTTTTTTAATTCATCTAAATCATGTTCACAACAATGTTCAGCCTACATCTCTTTACCAAGATTAAAATTCTAAATTTTTTAAAAAAATCAATACAAAGAATCAAGTTTGTCTTTGCCACAAACTCTGATTTTCACCCCTTTATCTTTGAAACCAAATGTCAAATTTTAAACGATAATTGTGCTAAGGAAGACTCAAATTTTCAAATATCAAAAGTTTAAGGCTTTAGATTGCAAAGATAAAGAGGATTAGAAAATTTGGGTTTGTGGCAAAGATTCAATTCCTTTCTATTTACCTTTTTAATACTGTCTGATTATTTTTCTGGATTTCAGTTTGAGATTCTGCTGACAACTTTAAAGGATGTTCCACACAGAATGCTCTTGTGGTAATCACATTTTCAGGTCTACTGGTTACAGGGTGTCCTTGTGAAAACATGGTTCTGGAGGAATAATTGTCTGATAAGTGGTAAGGATCCACACTTGAAATTCTATGATCTGGAATCCTAAGATTACATATAAATTTATTAGGTTTGAGAGTTTCACAAAATTAAAAAAGAATTCTTTGCAACCTGATGGTAATTCTAGACTAGTATAGAATTCATAGCAAAATAAAAGCTCTGCGACATCAGGTTGCAACGAAAAATGGATTTGAGTTAGAGGCAACTAATTAATTATTTACCTAGAATCCGCAATGGATTGTATATGTCCAGAATCCATTATAGATTGTCTATTTCCAAAATTGTTTATTTGAAGAGGATTCCTGTCTCCTGTCTGATCTACTGTGTTAGAAACTGGTGGTTTCCCACCGGACATTCTGTTCCATGAATTATCGACAGACAGTGTTCTGTTGAGATTTGGCGGCCCTGAACTACGGTTGGCTGGTATCATATATCCATAGATTAGTCCATCACCTTAGAAAACTCTCATGAGCATGTATTTGAAAAATGAAAGAAAAAAAATAATTAAAAAAATTTGTAAAAAATACCTTGATGGCCTGACGGCTGTCTAGGAAGCGTGGATGGATGCCCAACTTCAAACCCATGAACCTAAACATTCAGGATTAAAGGGACTGTGTGCGAACCTAAACATTCAGGATTAAAGGGACTGTGTGCGTAATTTTAAGAGACCCTCCATGCACCACAGTGGTGAGCATTGACATCTTTATCTGGTTAATAATGTTTTTTGTTTATTTTCTTGTGGTTTTTAACAATTTTTTTTCATTTTTTTTATCGATTTTGATGGTTATTATTTCATTGAAATATATTTTTAATAAATGTGGAACTAATATCTCCTTTTTTACTCTACAGAGGTTTGGTCCATCACCATCACCGAATTTTAAATGTTGAAAATATCATTGTTTTCCCAAACTTAATGTTGTTTAATTCGAATAAATACTATCTTTTTTTTCCTGCAGTAGAAATGCGCAAGACACTTTTGTTGAGAGACCACAATCGGAAATAATCCGTTTACAAAATTATAACCATTAAAATCTAATTCAGCTTGGGTATCGTTGTAAATCGGGCACTGCCATCTTACCAAGGAGTATGGAATATAAGGGAGAAAGGATCGACACAGCCCATGCACCCTACCATATGCTAATAGATGCTTTGCAGACGGTACTTCATTTGAATAGGAAATATGCTTTTCTTAACTGTCTTATGCACTTCAGTTTCAGTAGAAGTAAATATTTCCATTTACTGCTTAGCGCCGATTTATGGATTCATAACTCTAATTGGATTATGAGTATAGTTAGAAAGATAGATGTTACCGCCATGCAATTTTTATTGGTTCATAATAGACACCAAACATATGACTGAACCCTGATTGGATCAGGCGTTAATGGAATCGGCATACAAGTGTGTATGTAAAAAAATAAAAATGTACACCCATTCAGAATAGGTTATTGTATACATTATACACGGGGGTAAAATAGGCTAAATAACGCCAAACAAACACATTTTTTGGGATGCAAAAATGTTGGCAAAACAAACGTATTTTTTTTATCTTAACAAATCGAATTTATTTGATATGGTATAGTAATAGACATTTAAAAAATTAAAAGACGACCTTAAAAACTCTTGTTCAAATGGAGAATAAATCCTATGGTTTGGCGGGACGGGTCAATTTCTTCTCCATTACGTGTAAAACTCTTTGCATCTGACGCTTTCAGGCCCATTGATTTAAATGAAAGAGAGACAATAACATATTTACACTGTTTTTCTTTTTCTCTTCAATTTTTTTACAAACAAGTCAGCTGGATGTTTATAAACAAATTTACACTATTTCTTTTTAAAAATATCTTTAATATAAAATTGCAGAACAAGAAGTGTAGGCAGAAAATGATGTACAATCAAGAACTGTGTCGGGGTGTGTGTAAACGTGTGAGCACCCTGTTAAATTGTTTCGACCGTCGTCTATTTTTGTTTTACATAAGTTGTTACAACTCTAAATTTGAAAAAAATAAACGTAAAAAAATATAAAATTCATAACAATAAGAAGTAAAAAACAACGAACGCGGAGGGCTTTTGGAGGACTTTTGGAGTGGCTCCAAATTAGAACATATAGAAAAAAAAGAGTTTTAAAAAAAGGATATTTTAAAGCCAAAGATTTAAAAGGCAAATAACCGACCTTCTCACTAGTAGCAGGACAGGTGCACAACTTGTATATAAACTGTAAAAATAGATAAATACAAACACCTGCGAGCCCCTCAAAAACCCCGGAAACCACTCCAAACCCCAAGTAGCCTCTCCAAGACCCTAGAAGCCACTCAAAAAACTGGAATCCACTCTAAACCCCCAGAAGCCACTCCAAGACCCGTGTATAGCCACTCAAAAACCTTAATAGCCACTCAAAAACTCTGGAATCCATTCCAAAACTCTTATAGCCACTCCAAAACCCTAGTAACCACTTAAAAACCCACTACAAAATCTTAGATGCCAGTCAAAATCTTTAGTATCCACTTTTAAACTCTGGAAGCCATTCCAAAATACAGGAAGTAACTCTAAACCCCTGGAAGCCACTTTAAAATCATGGGAGCTGCCCAAAAACCCTGGAATCTTGTAGCCACAACAAAACACTACTAGCCTCTTCAAAACTCTGGAAGTTAAACCCTTGTAGCCAGTCAAAAACCCTGGAATCCACTCCAATCCCCTTGTAGCCACTCAAAAACCCTGGAATCTACTCCAAACCCCTTGTAGCCACTCCAAAACCCTGGAATCGACCCCAAAACCCTGGAATCCACTTAAAACCCATGGAATCCACCCTATTAGCCACTCAAAAACCCTGGAATGCCAGTCAGTAACTCCAAAACTCTGGAAGTCACTCTAAACCCTGAATCTGCTCCAAAACACTGGTAGCCCCTTCCAACCCTGGAATCTGCTCCAAACCACTATTAGCCACTACAGAACACCATTAGCATCTCTCCAACCCTCTATCATCAACTGGTCATTACAATCTCCGAATTTTAACCTCAAACTTAAATTTACCTTTCCACTTTGTAGAGACCCCTGTCTGGTTAGCATAGCGTGTGTGGGAGGTCTAGGCGTAGTTAGAACTGGAGTTCCCTGTGGTCTAGGGGTACTAAGCCTAGGTCCTAGGGGCAAATACTGATGACCAGGAGGGTACATAGCTTCCCCAGGGTTATAGTTGGGATACGTTATTCCGTACTGTGCTGATACTAGAATATATAATTACTGAAAGGGGGAAGAGATGTTAGTTCACTCCTCTTTAGAAAAAAGAGAAGGCAATGAAACTGTAAATTGTGTTTAAAAGAAGAGCATTTCCCCTCCACAGATTAGTTTGTCGTTCCCAACAAATATTTAATAAATGAATCTAATTGATTTACAATTTTTGAGTCTTTTCCACAAACAACGATAATATATCACCCTTATTTCTTTGCAACCCAATGTCGTACACCTCAGATATTTTAGACTATGAATTCTTTTAGTTAAAATTATCTAATTCTAAACTTAAAATGGTATAAACCATCAGGTTGCAAATATATAGGGATTAAAACATTTCTGTTTGTGGCAAACTCTTAATTCCTTTCTTAAAATGTCAAATTGCAATTGTAATGGCAAAAATAAAAATCTTGATGGGACTGCTAGCAACCCCTTAAATTAAATGAATAATTACCTAAAGGAAGTGGAGGCCTATGAAAGTGAGGTCTTGATGAATAAATAGGGTCCAAGCAATTTGAATTGGGCCTAAAATTATGCAAAAAAAAACTAGCAAAAAAAGTCGTCGGTTTTTGGTTTCATTCTCAATTTCAAAGTCAAAAATAATTAAAAACTTGAATATGTTTCAAAAATATATTTAATTATTTGAAGCTTTTCGTTTAATTGCTCAAAGAGAGAAAAAAAATTTATTTTAACAACCAAAATACACAAAGTTTACGACAGCTGTTATGCTTTATTGTTCTGTGAATGAAGAAAGCTACTCAGATGTTCGCAACTTCACAGGGTTGAAAATATAATCAATATGAAAATATAATCAAATATCATTGTTGACAGTCATAACATTTTTTTTGATAATATTTAAAAAGCTACTTTTTATTTTTAATTAGATTAAACTCGTTTTTCCGTGGCATTTGATCTTAAATATGAAGACGACATTATAAAAACTCTTCCTATGTATTCATATATCTGGGATTCACTGTACCTGGATGGGAACTGGTAAGTTGATGGAACAGACATTGGAACCATCTCTATTATTGGCGGGGCAACCTTGTCGTCCTTGCCCCGCATCTTTAAAAAGCCTAAAACCGAAATTTAAAAACATACTTAAACAAATTTTAAAATATATCTAAAATTTCAACGTAAATATCAAATGATTTGAAACACGTGCCTGGTAGCTTTCTTGATAGCGATCCAGTTTTTTGCTTGTTGGCACCATCTTTAGATTCGTAATCATCATCAGGCCTAAAATAAAAATAAAAAAATTTATATTCATAGGATTACAATCCAACGGTGATTGTTTTTTACGCGCAAACTATTGATCTTAAATATAAAAACTCCCTTTAAGTAATGATATCACTATGCAATTATGCAACAACAAAAGAAGTTGTGAATTGCACAAAAAGTTTTAAATCAAATCATTTTTTTCTGCGGCAAACAATTTTACAATTTAAAATTACGAGTAAAAACAAAGGCCCCCTTGGTAAACGAAATTTTTGAATTGATGAGAAAAAAACCGTATAATAGGAATTTGAGGATAAAAAATGCCAAAAATTTCCTTTAACAAAAAATAATATAAATGCAAACAAGTTAAAAGTTGATGAAATTAGTGATGAAATAAGATATAACCTTGTATCATAATAGACCAAAAGATCAGGTCCTGACCTATGTCCTGGACCTAACTTGAGGTCAGGACTTAGAGGATTTGAGCTCCGTGAAATAGGTCGTATAACATCTAAGCATTCACCATTTAAATGTGATATTAATATACAGGGTTACCCACACAGAACAAGACTGAAAAGACGACATAAAAATATTTTACCAAAACGATTCCAAGGTTAAATTAAGTCTGCTGCCTTGAATATAATAACCAATGATCAGGCAAAGAAAGAAACAGGTTTACAATTGCATAAATATAGGTATACATTCTGTATAGTTATCTCTGAAATCTCATGCTTTGTGGGTTACCCTGTAGGAATATTCAATTTATAACAATATTTTTGTACACAACAAAATAATTGACAACATTCATTTCAGACAAGCTGTTGTTTTGCGTGCAATTTGGACCAACAGAAAAGTTCTCAATTTTTATTAGAATCTTGTTTTAAAATGTTTAACGTAAAAAATAAAGAAAAAAATATAAAAGTTTAAAATAGTGAACTTTTCCTGAATTGTCTACACTCTCATTAAAGCTGATGTTTGGAATTGACTTCGAGGTTCTAAACACAATTCAGATTTTATCTATTCCAACAAGATATTAGTAAACCAAACAAATGAATTCTTGTAAATAAGATATTTAAATTCACCCCCCCCCATACTAGTTTACATTCTTTTTATTGTAATTTAAAGGGACTGTAAGCGTCAAGTGCCCCTTCATTCAAAGATGGAAATGCCCGATTTACAACGGTACCCTTTAACGCTTTGTCTGACCAAGTATGAATTAGATATTAATGTTTTTATTTCTTATAATTGGTAATTTTTATTTACGGTGACTTGCACATTCTTTGTGTATATGAAGCAACGGAGAAACTCACAGAAATTGACACTTTTAGAGTTAAAAAAATGACGGTATAACTTTACTACCAAATGTAGTAACCCTTAAAATATCAGAGGTTTACACCATCAAGTTGGAAAGTAATTAGAAATAGGCAAATGAAAACTCGTTAATATGATCTTTATTTTTAAACAACAGAATTGCTCATAAGTCATATTGAAGTGAAAGTGCCAATCCCTCCTTTTTTGCGCCAATTTTACATATATAATTGGCACTTGAAACTAGAAAAGAATAATATGAAATTATCAAATTTAAGAAAAGCAGGGAAGCTTTCTCCAAATATACGCGTTTGTGCAATTTCTGAGCTGCAACATACATTAAGCTAAACACAGCAATCGAATTGAAGTCTTTAAAATACCTTGACAAGGATGGGTATGCTGCCTCTGTAAATGATTGATCTGTATACAAAACTCGGTTCCCAGCTAGTAAAAAATGTTGAATTAAAGATTTCTATGTATGAATATGTGTTGTCTGCCCCTCTGCCAGCCTGTTTAGGAAATTTCTCAGTTGAAATTTTCTCAATTAATCAATTATGAATTTCTTATTATTTTTGATTTGTTCGCAGAATTCTTCAAATGTCGTCTTTCCAATAACAATTCCAGGAAATCTACATAAAATTGTTGTGAACAAAAGGACATTACAGAAACCAATAACTTAATAAGATTACCTATTTTCGATTATAAAAGTTAATTTTTCCTGTTCCTTAACAAAATTAGTTAACTATAGAATTGTTACTACATTTTTCGTCGTCGTTATTGACTAATTTTTTAAAAGCCGATTTTCAAAATCATCTCTCAAAAATGAACAACCTATGAGGATTTCAAAGAATGAATTTGCGCTCTTGCTGAACAATTAAATATGCACCATAAAAACGTCTTACATGTCTCAAACATGATTCCTAAAAAATTCTCCACAGCAATACTACAGTTAAACTACCATACATTGCCGGTCACTCGATTTTAATGGCAACACTTACAATATAAAATTGTCACTAGAAAAGGGTTGCGAAGCCCCCTGAAGACTTAGTATACTAGATTTTGACATTTTATCGACGATATCGTCTATATACTAGTTTAATCTTCATTCCAGGGTTTTACCTTCTGGGGGTTTCTTTAGTGCGCTTTTTAGAACAAGAGTATCTGTGCCACCTTCTTTTACAGAATTCGATCTAGTAAAACTTTTGATTTATCAATAATCGCTTACTACGAGCTGCAGTGAGAACCAGAAAACTGTGTTATAGGAAGACGACTTTATAGCAACATAGTATTTAATGTTATAACAAAGCAAATAGTAATCTTAGAGACGAATTAAGTGAAACGGCTTTATTTCTACTGCACAATTGCTTTGTCCCCTGCTCATTGGACTTTTTAAAGTCATTATTTGTGATTAAAAGTCGTCTTCCTTCTTCAAAGTTTTCTGGTTATCACTGTATCATTGCGGTTCAACACAAATTGATGAAAACTAAATTTGAAAATGAAAAGTTGCATGTAAAATTGAATTATTTTGAAAATTGTAGAATGATATAGTGAGAACCAGAAAACTCCGCAATGGGAAGACAACTTTCAGATTCAAAGGGAGTGTTCACAAAAAATATACCCCCTATAGGCTTACGTCGAAAAATATTCGATGGTGATTGCTACTAATCTTATTTCTATCTGTTGCGTATATAATGAGAAAATTGTTAAAAACGACTCATTCCGAAGAAAATAGCGTCCATGCAAATTCAGAAAGTTGCAACTGTCGACTCGGATCGTAAAAAAATCCATTTTATTCCAAATAATTCATTCAGATATTGAAACCAATAATCATCGTTTTTTTTCGACGCATTTGTATAAAGTTGATATTTCATAATTTTTTTTTTATTTCTTCTGATCTGAGAGTTACTTTTGAAAACATTATAATTCCTGTTTCGAGGATTTTTGAAAATGAAGACGACATTTTTATATTTTCAAGAAATGTTCGAAAATCCAGCGCCAGTCGTGGAAACAAGTTGTAAGCGAAATATTAATTTTAAAAAAAAATCAAAAATATTATGAAATATCAACTTTATACGAATGCGTTGTAAAATTATCGATGACTATTGTTTGAAATATCAGGATGATTTGTTTGGAATTGAATTGATTTTTTTTACGATCCGAGTCGAATATTTCAACTTTCTGAATTTGTGTGGACGCTACGTTCTTCAGCTCAGTATGATTCGTTTTTAACAATTTTCTCCTTATGACGCAACATATAGAAGTAAGATTAGTAGCAATCACAAACGAATATTTTTCGACGAAGCCTATACCCCCTTTCATTTTTCGGAAACACTCCACTTAAGTTATGACTTTTAATAGTCAATTGAATAAACAATAGACCCAGAAATGGTTCAGTGTAAACAGATTCAGTTCTCTGAACAAGTGATTTAATAACTCAATAGCAAAACTATTTACTTTTTAACAGCATAAAATACACTTAGATAAATTGCTTTTCTGGTTCTCACTGTATGACTAATGTAATTAAATGTAATTAAACATGGATACCGATTATATTGATATGCTTGTTTTACCTGGGCTGTTGAAAGTGTGCACGTTTTAAAGAATTATTTTCTGATCGAGGAAAATTAAAGTTGGATAATTCCTCCTTAGAGTTCTGGATTGACATTCCATTTCCTAATAAAGAAAAAAGTCAATCACAATTCACAACATATCAGAACCCAGAAACTGGTTTTTGCACAAGCTCTGATTTTTAAAATCCACATATCTTTGCGACAAGATGTAGTAGACCTTTGATATTTACAAAGTATGAATTCTGTTACAGGGTGTCCCACATCATATTAGATCGTTAATCGGTCAAAATCACGATTTTCGAGACTAATCAGATAATTTAAGAAGATTGAATCATTTTGAAAACTTGAACACACTAATATAAGAATTTTCTTGTGGAAAATGCAAGGTTTTTGAGTATTATGGGTTTATTTGGCGTTAAAACTTGGAGGTTATCTAATATGGTATGGGACACTTTGTAGATGAACTAGTTATAGCTTGAAATATCAAGGGTTGTATGCCATCAGGTTGTAAAGATATAAGGAAAAATTCAATTCGTGTGAAAAACTCAGATACTGTCAGATAAAAATCGAGTTTCTGCAAGATGGACGAGATGGACAAAATAAATGCATAATGTCAGAAGGAAATTAAATGTCGTCTTCCAGTTTGCTGACCTGAGAGTTCTTCATGTCTGAATCCCGCATCAGATAATCGTTTTATCTTTCTCTCCAAGTTCTCTTCCCTCCTAATCAGTTACAAGCATAAACAGTGGTCGGTGATTACATCAATACAATAAAGTCCACTTTTTTAACAAGCTTTTTTCAAACTACAAGTTTAAAAAGTAAACACAAAAGGTGTTATTTGACAGCTTCTCTTTGTTTTAATGTTTATGTGTGTCAATTCCGTTAAAAAGCTTTGTAGAAAACTTGAAATAGACATTCGTCTTTATTGTATTGTTATATACTCGACGACGCTTTTACATTATATACACGCTCTCTGTTAGATTTAACATTGTTTACGGTTTCCCCAAGGACTGAACCCGTAAATGTTATGGAACCTTGCTGCATCTTGGACTGACTGGTTTAAAGCGCGAAGGATATATATTTTAACAACATTTTGAAGATTGTGAATTTGGAAAAATTTTTACTTGGGAAAATCTATGCTTAGCATTGTCACTGTAAAATAGACAAAGCATGATTCAAAACCATTTTTCGTATTTATTTTAAATGTTTTTGAACCAGCTGAGCATTAAGTGGTGGACATTGATTTAAAAATCTTAAAAGGACTGTGTAAGCTTAATTTCACCTCCACGCAAAGATGGCGATGCCCGATTTACAACGGTACCCTTAAAAGCATTATCTGATCAAGTATAAATTACATCTCCATGTAATTTTATATATTTATTTATTTTATATATTTTGTATTGTGGAAGACGATGCCTGGCCGCGTTAAACTAGTTCCATTAGTTCTGAACCCTCTAGTAATAAGTTATAAGAAATATATATACTGGAAGTTATTTATGCGTTTTATTAGAGTCTGACTCACGTCCTCTATAGTATATTATTATTTGTTAATTCTCTGCAAATGACTTGCGCATTTCTTGATTTCAAGAAACAATGAGAAATTCATAGAAACAAACACTTTTCTTCCACAATTGTGATCAGGTTGCTAGGGTACCTTTGTAAATCTGATATTGCTATCTTTGCATATGGAGGGTCCGTCCCTTAAAGTTTAGGTGAAAGGGACTGTACGATAAATAAAAGGGGGTATAGGATGAAACCTAAGAATCTCAGGTGTTGATCGATACATATAAGACATCTATCTGATGTGTTCCTGTCTCGAGAAATTAATATCAAATTGTCTCAAAATTATACAAAAATTAATTTATATGCAATTTTGTATAAAAGTTGTAGATTTAAAAAAATCATATTCAGCAAATACGAAACCAATCTGAAAAAGACTATATCCTACAGAAACCTGAGAATCTCAGGTTTCTCTATTTAAAATGCAAAATCAAATAAAAAAATTAAAAAAGAAGAAAACCTGAGATTCTCAGGCTCCAGTGGGTTAAAATCGTTTTCAGATTGGTTTCAGATTCTCAGGTTTCATCTTATACCCCCTTTCATTTTTCCTTTACAGTCCCTTTAAGTCCCAGGTAAAGAATGAAATATGAATGACCTGCGAACCCGTTGCCTTTGATAATAAACTCCGGAGCAAGCGGATAAATTTAACAACAAAAGCACTAATCCTAAAAAGTAAAAATACCTTGAAGATAGAGCTAAATAATATTCAAAACACAACTCAAGGGCCAAGGCAGATGAGAGTTAATTCATAAATTTAGAGATCGAGTTAAATATTTGACATTGTCCCAAAAAAATCGAAACAATTGAGTTTTTGCCGAGTTTCAAATCCCTATATCTTTAAACCCATAGATTAATTAACAATAACAGATAGGACACTAGATGTCGTTTTTTCAAGATTTGGGGGTTTTTTGTTCACAATAACCCTGAGGCAGGCAGTGCATTCTCTCTCTCAGTCTGTGCGGAACTGCTTTATAGGCTTCTCTACCTCAGGATTAATGTGAATGGAAAACCCCTAAATCTTGAAAAGACGACTTCTACGGTCCTATCTGATATTGTTAATTAATCTATGTTTAAATTCCATTGTTGTTACTTGTAGACCTTAGATATTTCCAACAATGAATTTTGTTAGATCAAATAATCTAAGTTTGAAATATTAAAGGTGTCTAGCTATACATCTGTTTGTAAAGGTATAACTGGATTAGCAAATTTGAATTTGTGAAAAAGACTAAATTCCTTTACTGATATCCAGTTAAATATTATGGTAATAATTGTAAAAATGAACAAATAATAAAATTATGATATTAAGGATTACAAGTAAATTTTGTCTAACCTATGATAACAATGAGGCTGACAGGAAGGTTTTTATCAGAGAATATACCCCCGGAGCTCTTTGTCTAGATAAATAAATAATCAAAAATCAAATTGAAGTGTAAAGGGATTCTCAGGGGAGTGTAAAGGGCGTATAAACTATTGAGGATGTATAAAGGTAGTGTAAAGAGAGTGTAAAGGGAGTGTAAAGGGATTACAAAGGTAATGTAAAAGGATTGTATAGGTAGTGTAAAGTTAATGTAAAGGGAGTTTAAAGGGAGTATAAAGGGAGTTTTAAGGGGTATAAAGGGAGTATAATGGGATTAAAAAGGGAGAGTAAAGGGAGTTAAAAGGGATTATTAAAGGTAATGTAAAGGAAGTGTAAAGGGAGTAATTGAGGGAGTATAAAGGGAGTATAAGTGAAGTGTAAAGGGAGTATAAAGGGAGTATAAAGTGATTATCAGGTAGTGTAAAGGGAGTATAAAGGGAGTGTTCACTTAAAATAAAAGGGCGCATTTATTAACACATCATGGATAAAGCATAGTGTCACTAGAAACTCCAGATCATTTAAAGAGCCGAACCGACTTTAAAACTGCCATTGTTAATGCAAGCTGAAGAGTACACGTATAAAACATGGGCAAAACGGGACAGTAAGCCTTCAAGTGGATTTTATGTAGCCATAATCAATTCTAATTTGGATCAGATTTAATTTATAACGATAACGAACCGTGTAGATATCATTGAACCACTTCTCTGTAGTTTGATCCATGGTTCACAATAGAAATGGCTGAACTACGTCTCTACGTTGTTCACCTTCTTAGCTGCGGAGAACGAAACGCGGCATTTTGAATTAGAATCAAAACAAACAAAATGTCCCCCGGTTTTTTACTTATTTATTCTTCTTTCAAAACTTCTATCAAAAGGAACCGAACAAGCGTCTCAAACTTTAATTTGCTAATCCTCAAATTTACGCAACCCACTAGTCGTAAACCTTGGGTATTTTCAACCATAAATTCTGAATTCATTAATTAGTCAACGTTTGAAATATATAAATATAGCAGAGCGCAGGATGCCAAGGTATTGGTTGCTATGGAATTAGAGTAGGAGACAAGTGTTCTTAAAGGAAGTGTTCACTTTACCTCGATATCATTATTTGTCTTTTCTCGGAAATTTTCCTCAAAATTATTAATTTGTCCAACTGCATTCGAACCCTATTAATTAAACATTTGTAAACAAATATAATAATTTAAATGTAATGAAATCATCAATATTAGTCTTTATTCCATTTTGTGTTTTCCTGTAATTTAAAAATTTTCTGGGATATTATTTTTCATAATTGGCCTGGGACATTATGAGAAATAATGTCCCAGAAGATTTACAAAATTCTGGATTTTTTACAAAATTTTGCGGATTTTAAAGTTTTTTTTATCGCGTTTTTCGGTTTAGGAAAGAATAAAATTATGTAATCAACTGCCTTGTGTATAATTTGGAAAATTATATTTTTACCGGGATTTTTGCTTAATTAAGTAAAATGTCCCGTATTATAACAAAAGGCAGTTGCATTAATAGATATTTTTAACGTACATAATAATTTTGAATCGTTGACAAAATGTGTGCACTTTCAAAAGTGAAAATTTTCGACATTTTTTCTGGGCAAAATGTTTTAAATTCGACCAGCCATAAACGTTTCCTGTGGTCTCGATTGGTTTAGCCGTTTTTCATCTTTATTAGATAGAAACAAACACCAAGACAATCACACCAAGACAGTCAAGTGCGAACTTATAAATAGCTAAAATGTTTGGGTATTAATTACCTGGCCTAGGTCTTTATTTTCTGATCTATCAATTGCTGTGGATTCAAGAAAGCTATCAACTAAAAAAAATGTATCTTTTACACTATTTCTTAATTTGATCTAAGAATTTGTCTTGCCTAAAACAATTGATTAACAAACCAGCGTTTTAAATCTAAAATCTTGATTAATTCTTAAGTTTTTGTTTAATTTACCTAAATCTGGAATAATCTTGTTCCAAACTGCCATTTTCTGAGGTTTGTAGTGGGAAGAAATCTTAAAATAAAGAAATTACAACAAAAATTAAAGTTTGATGTTAACGTCTTTCTTCTTTTCAGAAACAACTTAAAATTGTCGATTTTAAACATTAATTAAAAATGTTATAAAATACTTTAATAATAATAATTTTTTTAAAAGTTTTTTATTTTATATTTCTTTTTATGAACTCCCATCCCATGGCCGGCTATAACACACAGAATTAATTTGTTCAAGGAAATAATTTATTGACAATTTAACGAATAAAATAAAACGTTCTGAAAGGGACTGTAAGCGTAATTTTAAGTGACCCTTTAAGCAAAGATGACGATGCCCGATTTCCATCAATAACCCTAATTTTAAAAGCTTTGTCTGAATTAGGAATTATATCAATGTGTTTGTTTCTTTAAGCGGTTTATTTTAAATTTCGTTTTCTCTGCAAAAGTGACTTGTCCATTTCTTGCTAAGAAGCAAAGGAGAAATTCACAGAAATAAAAACTTTTCGAGTCCAGAAAACGACAATATCTTCCACATTTTTCATCAGATTAAGGTTGAAATTCCGCTTGCAGTCCTTTAAAGATTAAACGGTTTGAGAAAATAAAAGTTAAAATGCAGCTGGTTGGAGCCATTTTTTGCGTTTTCTTAAATGCACCGTAATCTTGCAAGGCTTCATTTGTTGCATATATCCGTCCTGGGTCAACTGTACACTAGATAGTCCGACTGGACAGTACAGTACAACTGAATGCATAGTACATGTTTATTGGCTCGGTTCATGCAACTTTTAGAGTGGGGTAAATGACTCAAAGAACTGTAGTAGTACCTGTGAGTTTGTTCCAAGCACAATATACTTCTTCTGGGTTGGATCAAAAGGTGGCCAGTACAGTACTCGAGAATCAGTGCTACCACGGTAGGATGATCTAAACAGTACAGTACTAGAGAATCAGTGCTACCAATTTACAGCACTCGAGGATCAGTGCTACCAGGGTACAGTACTCGAGAATCAGTGCTACCACGAAACAGTACTCGAGAATCAGTGCTACCACGAAACAGTATTCGAAAATCAGTGCTACCAGGGTACAGTTCTCGAGAATCAGTACTACCATGGTACAGTACTAGAGAAGCAGTGCTACCACGGTGCAGCACTAGAGAATCAGTGCTACCACGGTACAGTACTAGAGAATCAGTGCTACCAGGTTAGGATGATCTAAAAATTGTGACATTTCGCCTAGTACTTGTTCGCGTAGCAAGGAACTTTTTGTCTAGATAACACTTGTTGTTTATCTAAGTTATCAAAAAAAATTACAAGGATTACACTTTGGAACGTCTATAGATAAAAAATGTAAAAAAAGATTGAAATTATGATTACTATTTCAATGATTTTTTTCGTAACACTATCTGGCCGGGGGGGGGGGGTCAATTTGAGCCAGAATTTGATCCAGGAAGCTCAAATTTTCTTGCTTTTCTAACTGACACATGCCTATCACTTAAGGCTAAGAGCTGGGCTTTTATACCTACTACCTGAGTCCTCAGGTATACTTCTTATATGACTTATTTTACCTAAACCAGACTAAATCTATATTTAGACCTATGTCCAGTCATTGGATTTTAAGATTTTATACCTTTTTGGAAAGCCTAGGTTAAAAAGATTTAGGGATAATAAATTTTACTTTGTGGTAAAGACTCAATTGTTTTCTTGTCGGTTTACTACCTGGATCCAGGATTTCCTGTTTTGGCAAAGTTGACCCAAAAGCTCATTACATGCTGGGATAAATTCTTCTCCTCATCAGAATAGTTATGGACAAAATGGTAGGTACCGCCAACTATTCATAATTCATAATTAATATTAATATTGTGTTAGTATAGTTATGGACAAAATGGAAGCTGCCACCAACTAATCATATCTCAATTCATAATTAATATCACTATGGTTATGGAGAAAATGGTAGGTACCGCCAAATATTTATAATTCATAATTAATATCAATATCAGTATGGTTATGGACAAAATAGTAGGTACCTCCAAGTAATCATATCATTTCAAAATTCATATTAATATTGTATTATAGTGTTGTTGACACAAATAAAAGAACAACAGGGATATTCGGTAACTTTATTGAATAATAGCATGAAATGAAATAAAAGCAAAGTTTAAAAATATTGGCCCTTAATTGGGAGTATCTAAACGGTTGAAAATGAAATAACATTGATTAATAGTGTTGAAAGGAAAGGAACAGTTGGAGCTTCATGATGGTCAGCTCACAGGTGTCAGCATCTTGGCAGCAAAGGGTTCACATCTAGGCGACGGTGCTGGAGGGTTTGCAGTCTGTAACATGTGTAGGGAGGAACTTGAATTTCCTCTCAACCCCGGGACATGCGACTGCTTTGTGGATTTGGACATGATGGAGGCTTAGACATTAGCAGCATTTGTTGCTAGAGTAGACATCGGCGGCAGTATGAAGGAGTTAGCAGTTCCAGATCAGAGGTGTTCACATCTCGACATTCTAAAGCTAACTGACGCTGTTCCCCACAAGTAGAGGCGGTAAGGGGGGGGGGAACATGTGGAGACACATTTGGAGCGGATATAGTATTATAGTATTGTGAATCTTCCGCGGTCAACTTCGCTACACAGTAGTAATCGTCTTCGTGTTTTCTTGAATTTGTTAACAAGTGTGGTTATGGACAAAAAGGTAGGTACCCCCAACTAGTCATATCCATAGATAAAGATAGATTGCGCATAAGACGACATTTTTCATCATGAAAGATATAAATGTACAGAGATGTTTTAAAAATATTCTTATTATACAGATTAACTAGGTCGGTTGTGAACATTGGCTGTTCTTATGTCATTGAGTACTTGTGGTGTACATGAGCTCTGAAGAGAGAAATTTAAGTTAGTCTAGTTCTTCTCATGTCCTTCTTCAGTTCTCGTCAATATGATATATTGCTCAGTGAAATATTGTTGTTCAAATAGTTCCATTCCCGGAGTTATTTTACACTCTATTCTATGAAATCCATTAAAACACCAACCCACCCCGCTTATCATTGAAGTACACTTTGACCCCTAAAAGTATGAGTTCGCAGACTGTACAACTGATTTTGTGTACATAAGCTATCTATGTTTATTTATTTATCTATGGTCATATCAAATTTCATAATCAAAATTAGTATTCTGTTTCTATCAGTTTTGGAAAATATACTATTGAAATAGTATAAAAAAGGCTTCAGAATGAAAAATGATTGCTAATGATGAAAAAAGGGCAAAAAACTTATTTTAGAAAAAAAATATTTTGCTAGAAACTCTAATTTATCTATATATCTTTGCAACCTTTGGCATTTTAGCTTAGATTATTTTATCTAACAGAATTTAAAGCTTGCAAAATACTACATTGAATTTCAAAGATCTAGGGATTAGAAAATCAGAGTTTATGACAATAACCCATTTCGATAAGCTTTCTGAAGCAAATGCATCTTTTGAATTCTGCTTTTAGAAAATTGAATTTGTTAAACGGTTTGTAAAAGCAAAGTTTTATAAGAAACAAATCATTTTAGAACAATATGACGTATTTGTATGACCAGAAACTCTCAGAGGTAGGTGATTATATCAATAGAATGAAGACGACTTTTTAATTAAGTTTTAATTGTTAAAAAGCTTTTTTCTTATTACAAGTTTACAAGTAACAAAGAGAAGCTTTTTTAATCGACAGCTTCTCTTTGTTTCCTTGATTATGTGTATCCATGCTGTTTAAAAGCTTAATGGAAGTCAAAATTGAAATCGAAAGTCGTCTTCATTGTATTGATATATGCAATGTCGACTTTATTTTACATTAACAACGTCTTACCTAGCGGCATACCAAGAACGTATGCAAGTTCTTCTCCATGAGTTGACCCAAACTCTCTGGGATAATAACCCTGCTCTGTTGTATGATTAAACAGGTAGAGGTAAGATCCCTGTCAAAATGTACAGTATTACAGTAGAATTTGTTGTAAGGATCTATATATAAAGATATGAACATCTCATAAAGCATTAAACATTGTGTTTATAAATAAAATGTTATAAGAGGATTGATGCGCGTTTTACTAAATATATATAAGTGTTTTAAGGAAGAAATCTCTTAAATTTAAGCTATTTCTTAGCTAAGGTCGGAATTGTGCCAAAGACCGTCAACTTAGTTTTAGGTGTGTACTTCAGTGATTTGAAATTGCAGTACACTGATCGAAGAAATGGCGGGTTTTAGTGGAGAGTGAAGAGTTAGTTAGGAATGTTGGAATGTACTTTTCTACGAAACAACCAACCATTTTAAGTTACTTTGTAATTCAATTTATGTATGTCAAAGATATCCGCACTCTGACGCTTGTTAAAGTGTAAATTCTAATGATGTCTTCAGATTCCAATTAAAAAAAAACCGGCATAGTTTATGTCAACAATTCAAAAAATGAATCATAAATCACGTTTGTATTGTTATTTGTTGCTTGCATGGTTGTGGCAAAACCGATTATTGTATAAAAAAATTTACCCATAAATTTCTAACTATGTTTTTTCATGGCAAACAAATTCATTATATCAAAGTTTTGAATAATCCCTACGGAAATCAAATAAAATATTTTCTTTGTTAAAGTGGGTTGAATATTATTGTGATTTGAAAAATCATTTATCTAAACTAACAACAAAGGAATTGAGCCTATGTCACACACTCAGATTTTCGTATGTCCACATCTTTGCAGGCTGATGGTGTAAACCTTTGATATCTCAAAATTGGATTATTAAATCCAACAAAATTCATAGTTTGAAATACCTAAGGGCTATGACATTGGGTTGCAAAGATATGGGGATTAGAAAATTTAAGCTCAATTCCTTTAACTTCGTATCCTGTTTTTTTGTCTACTGTTTCCTTTTCGTTGTTTGAATGCAATTCTGCAGTTTTCATCAGCGGTGCAACAACCCTGGAAAATAATTATTTTTATCAATTCAAAAATTTTATACATATTTTCTTCTACAAACAACAGTCATTTTGGCAGGTAATCAATTAAATTTATTTCAAGATCTATATTTTAGCGGGGATTTCTAGCTAATGAATACTTACTCGAAAAAATGCAAAATTTCGCGAAAACTTTCTTTCGTATTGTGATTTCTGGAGATAAACAAAAACAAAAAAATTCGACAATTTTTTTTTTATCCTACAAAAGGAATGCAATGAATGAGTGTGTTTTGTACGAAAAAAAGTAAATTTTTTTATTTTTATTTTTGATGAATGATAAATTTTTTAATTTCGGAAACCTATTTCCTGTAGGGATGGCTATCGTACAGTTACCAAAGGCAAAGTGTTAAAATTAGTTTATTTAAAATTCGTTAACGAACAAAAATAAACGTTGAGAATAGATAACGGAAAATAAGAAAACGAACTGAAAAATCAGATTGAAGCTTATTAAATACCCTTTTTGACTTAATGCAGTGGTAGGTGATTATATCAATATAATTAAGACGACTTTCTGGTTAAGTTTTTTTTTCTTAAGCCGTTTTCGAATTACAAGTTTATAAGTCATCAAAGAGGAGCTTTTTCAATTGATACCTTCCCTTGGCTTCTATAGTTAATGTGTATCCATGATGTTTAACATCTTGATTGAAATCAAAATTGAAAGTCGTCTTTATTTTATTGAAATAATCGCCTACCACTGTATATGCCTTTTATAGTATATAAACTCAAGAAATCGGTACTTTAGAAGATGAATATATATATTTTGACGTGGCTTGGTTAAGAAAGTAATGCAAATGTGACTTAAAGGCAGTATACCCTAGTTCAACTTTTTTTTTCAACGGTTTCTAAATATAAATACTTACAAAACAATAAAATCTGTTGATTAAACTTCTTAATCATCAAAGTTTAATATAATTGGTTTGATTAATTATATTTGAATTATAATGTTTCCAGAATTTAATCTCTAATTGTCGCAATTATTGTGATATAAAAGTTCAAATACATTTCAAAGATTGATATTATTAATCCCTTCAGGTTCCTAAAGATTGATATTATTAATCCGAAGTATTAATTCAAAATTATTTCAATATATTTTCTTAATGTGACACTTCCATTTAACATCTAATATATTTCGGGAAAGCCTACATTTCTGGCATCTACAAAAGAAATAGCAAATTTTACAAATCCAAAATTTTAAACTTTTGAACGAAAAATAGAAAAATTCTGCATAACATTTTTAAAAATCATTTTCGAGCATGCCACAAATATAACTGCAAAAAATTCCAAGATTTTTTAGTATGATAAAAACTGAATACTTTAAAATATGCAAAACACCTCCTCCCTCCCCCCACTTAATACTTTTAGGCAGCTGGAGTATCTTGTGTACACAATACATACATTAGACTACAGAGCCGGAAAGTTTAAAGATTTTTAAAAAGATTTTCGGGGTCTTTATGTTTGCGTAGATTTAAATTTAAGAAATCAGAAACAAAAAGAGAATGTTAAGAAACAACATTAAATATTATTTCTGAACAAAGATATTTGTATCTACAAAACTGCCTGATACTATTCATAAAACCGGGTTCACACTTGTATGCCTATTCCACTAGCGCCTGATCCAATCGGTGTTCAGTCATGTGTTTGGTGACTATTCTGAACCAATAGAAATTGCATGGCGGTAACATCTATCTTTTTATTTATCTCATTATCCAATTAGAGATAAATCCTTATATCGGTGCTACACGGTAAATGGAAATATTTACTTCTACTGAAACTATAGTTGGTTTCCAAAACAGAGTTTCATAACAATCCCCTGTTTGTCTCAGATGACAAAACCGGAATGAATTATCCCCTTCTACGAACCTTGCTTAATCACTATAGTTTCAGTAGAAGTAAATATTTCCATTTACTCGCCGATTAAAGGATTCGATAACTCTGATTGGATAATGAGATAGTTAGAAAGATAGATGTTACCGCCACAATATTTCTATTGGTTCAGAATAGACAAAAAACACATGACTGAACCCTGATTGGATCAGGTGCTAATGGACTTGGCATACAGGAGTGATGTTCTTCAGGACCAGGGTTAAATCAGCATTGCTGACTATTCTTTACAAAATACCTATTTATAACACTGTTATGTTGGTTCGCAGTGTTTGGACAGAAATTTTCTCTTAATCGAGAAGGTTCAAGCCTTTTTAGATTTAATTTTTTCCCGAGCTTTAGCTAAGAACAAATATAATTTAAAAAGGCGAGAACCTTCGAGATATAGAGAAATTTTAAGTCCAAAAACTTTATAGCACGTCGTGCAAAATAATACTGTCATATGTAATTTTCTGAAACGTGAAAGGGTGTGTGTACTTGTCTTATTTCAATAGTTGTTTTTAGTTCAAATAAGCTCTTTGAAACAAAGCAAAAGCCAAAATATAAAGTTGATTTTAATTTTATTTCCATTTCAACTGAAAAAAAATGTTGGAAATATCCCAATTTTTTTGGAGAAAATCCGGGAACCAATAAAAAACTTTAAAGCACACGAGCTATAATGTACAGATAATTTAACTGTTTGGCACAATAATTACTTTATAGCACGTTCATTATGAAATTCACGATGAATCGTTTCATAAAATAATCATTTTCTTTATTATGTTTGTCCTTTTTTTCTAAAAACACTAGAACACTTAAATTAGATGAATTTAAGTAATTCAGGCTTTAATAAGGTAATATAAAACTAATCAATTGAATATATATATTATAGGAAAATAAATGAATATAATATAATACCATGTAATCACTATAATAAAGCTTTTCACTCATAAATATACATTTATTTGTTAGCTTTAGCTAGCCAAACGGCTGGCTAGATTGTCAGACATTTTTGAGAAAACCCATGGGTAACCTGGGGGTAACATATGGCTACAAAAATTGATTTTTTTAATTCTACAGGCAACGCCAGGCATTTATTATGATATTACCTTGCATCGCTAAATATTTCAAGAAGCACTCTCAAGTTTACCAGTTTATCCTCTCTAAAACAACAAAAATGTAGATAGATAATAAATAATATTTTAAAAGTATTTTTTATTTTTACCTTGTTTGGTAGATGTCTCTGTATTCGTTTTCCACCGTCTGAAAGAAAAAAAATGGCATTAGTTTTTCATATTATATTTTTAGATACATGTAATATTTTAATTTTCTAGGAAATTTTTTTTATATCAATATTCAAAAAACTCTTTTTTAGCCTATGTTAGTCCATGGGTTCCCTGAAAAAAATCAGCCAAATTCAGTCGTGTGGCCAGCTATAACTAACAAACAGATATGATATATTTATATATATGTATATATATGTAGGCTTTAAAATCTACTGAGGATTGCCACAAGGCATGAAACATCATGTATATTCTAAAATATATTAAATATATTAAATATATTAATTTGAAGCTGACTCTTTAAATATATATAAATATATATATTAGCGAAAACCTTTATTATAATTTATTTCTCCCCTTTCCTTTAGACTCACCTGGACTATTTGTTCCAGATTTTGTCCAAAAGTATCAAATTCTGTTCTTAACATTGTTCTATACCCAACACAATATTGTTTATCAAGTACTCTCAGACTGCAGAAAGTAAAAATCTACTTTAATAATAAATTGTAAAGGAGAGGAATTGGGTCTTTGCGACAAACTCCGATTTTATCCACGGGCAGCCGTAGTTCATTAAAATTTCCGAGCCGGGTCAACCTTTCCGGTCCCAGTTTGTACTGTACCTAGCTCTATGGACAGGACTAGCCGGTGCAACAAGGTTGACGCGGTCAGACTTTATGCTTCATATAGGTTGAATTTACTTTTACTAAAGGGCAGAGGTGCGTGTCTTATTTCTATCTCTTTACGACCCAAAGTCGTAGACCTTATAGATATTTCAAACTAACAGTACTGTTAAGTCAACTAAGTTAAGTTAGAAAGAAAGCAAAGACAGAAATAGAATTTGTGGCAAAACTCAATTCCTATACGACTTTTTCAAAAAAAAAAATACAATAATTCATTTTTGGTTTAAGAAATACCAAAAACGTTTTCATATTTTTGAATATTATGGGTTCCTCAATATTTCGGCTTTCTCGGATTCTGAAACTCCATAACTGAATACAAAAAAATATAAATATTAATTCTATTAGTAGACATTAATATACAATTTCGAGTATTAAATTGATGTGATGTGATTGATTGATTGATTGATTGATTGATTACCTGACAGTATAAGCAGGGAAGAGGTGAAAAGACTCGGACTCAGTCATTCCAAACATCAGATCAAATTTAGGTACGTAATCATGGATGAGCTGAGAAGGAAGTTTTGGAATGATAAACCCATCCACATAAGGACCTACAGGGGTGCTGTAAGCCGGGGTTTTTATCTAACAAATCATAAAATATTATTTATTTTACCAAAAAAGTGTTTGTATAAAGATTTGCTGAAGTTTTATTAAAACTAAATTTCCTTGGCGTTCTTTCAATGCCCAACCCAAATCTTTGTTCTTGATCCACTTCCGAATTTTTGAATTTAAATGTATGTAGCTTTCAGTAAAACAAAACTGAGCTGAGCTGTAAACTTTAGAATGGTTGATATCGAGATCAATGCTTTTTCATATTTTTATTCAACTACAAAGCACGAGATAACTTGATCCTCTCTTTTTGCAAATCTCCAGACTAATTTAGTATTTAGATTAATTTCTGGAGATTGGAGATGCCCTCTTTGACTTTTGAAAAACCGGTTTTTATTTTTGCCGCATTTTTGGTGTCATATCAATTTGACTAATGATTGAACGAATGTAAGTTTTAGATTATTGTGTATACAATTCAACCAATCAGAGTCGCGTATCGGAAGCAGGGAAATTTCTAATTTTGCGCGCCATTTGAGATTAATATTCAGAAATGAAAGGAAGTCTCTAATTTTGAAAAAATTAGGTTTTTGATTTTTCTGTACTATGATCCAAAAAAAGAGTGGATAAAGCAAGATATTAAAAGTTTCCACATTGGATATTCGGATTAAGCAGTCGGGATGAAAGGTATCCCATTCTAAAGTTCCTGCAGCTCTGATTAAACATTTAATTTCTTTACTTTCTAAATTTGCATCTGCGCAATGTTCAGTTAAAAAAGTGTTTTAAAAGAATGAATATTTCAAGAAAATAAATATTTTTTTACCAATACTTCTAGTCAGAGCTTTCCAAAAATTTACCAATTTTCATAAATGGACATCATAGGACAGACTAAAATATTCATTTTTTAATGAATTGTTCGATTATTGAATTGTTCCTGGAGGTTTAATATAGTTCTCACATCCTTCTCCCTCAAACATTCAGCTAGAAGACCAGACTGGATTGGACAGTTCGTCTCATCGGCTACCTACAGTCGTCGTCGTTTATATCAATACAATCAAGACAGCTTTCGATTTCAATTTTGTTTTCTACCAAGCTTTCAAATATCATGGATACACATAAACATGGAAGCATAGAGAAGATGTAAAAATTAACAGCTTCCCTTTATTTGATTGTAAACTTGTAATTTGAAAAAGCATATTTAAAATCAAAACGTAAGGAGAATAATCGCCTTCATTGTATTGACATAAACTCGACCTATGCATAAAAATATAAAAGGCGTTTATTTTACGCTGAAATACTGGTACGGTTTTGCAACCTTGTAACTCTTTTAGTTTTCCTTTTATACCTCAGAGCATGATGCATAGCTAGATGTTGTAATTGAAAAATACTGGAAAAGTAAGTTAAAATATGAATGTGAAAATTGTGGTGCGTGTGAACTGTGCTGTGGGTTGTGACATGAAATGAGGGAAAGATCATCGAATCATGAAATTCCTTAAGTACAATGGAAATCTTACATCAAGTATCACCACTGAGCCCAAAACTTAAGACTGAGTATTCGTGATGAAACCCAGTGTCGGAAACCCGGTTTCATGAATGGGGTCATGAAGTTGTAGATACCAATATTTTTGTTCAGACATCTTATTTCTGTGGGTTCTCTTTTTGCTTTCTGACTTAATAAATTAAATCTACGCAAATGTATAGACCCCAAAAAAGGAAACCGAGTAGTTTCGTTTAACAACACTGTCTAAAATTTCCGGCTCGTAATAGGTATGCATGACAATATATCCCCCACCACAATTTACTTCTTACTCCTTTCTTCACAATACAAATCATAGTTCTCCTTTTATTTAAACTTAATTTACTAACAAAATCTAGAAAAATTAAAATACCAAATCATAGGTATCAGGCCAAGCTAGATTTTTCATTTTAACAAATCGAGTTGTCCTGACTTTGACTGATTATTTACTATTTAACATTCTTTGCTCAAGACATTTACATAGAAATTACAGAGATAAAGGACAAGAATCATACAGATAGATTGATAGATATTCTCTTTTTTATATTTCTCAACTTTAACAAGAAAAGTTTGTATACGCTAGCACTCTCATTTTTGACACTATTACCGTAAAATTTTGTGACTTTTAATTAATAGAAATTTGTTTGGATAAGTTTGTTTAACCCTATCCTGATTATGCTATTTTTGTCTAATATAGAGGGGGGGGATTCCCCCCACACTTTCCCATATATTGTTTTGATCTTAGAATTGAGATAGGGATGTACTTTTCTCTAGTCCAAAATGAAAAGTTCAATAAAATATCTACGTATCGACAAATAAAGAAATTACATCAAAAACTTTGTTCGAAAATCAACATAAATGATTAACAGTTAAAATTCCTTAATTTTGACAACTCTAGAGAATAATGTTCTAAGGGCGGGAGGGGGATTTTTTGCAGGACTTGTTGTAAAAACTTCTCTAATAACTTAAAAATATTTTAAGTTGGAACTCTGCCAAAGTAAAACTACACCCTCCTCCCCCTGACCCCCTCCTTCCGTATTTCATGACGGTAACACTAAAATATATCCATGTTGATGATGTAACAAGTTCTTTTTGTAAACAATTTTGAACGAATTTTATCTTTAAATTACACATGCAGAATGAAACAAGTTTCCTGAATTCCTATTTGATAAAATTGTACCTGTCTTGTTATATCTCTTGGATCTCTTACTATTGCAGATTTTGCCAAACTCGAACCTAAACAAGATAATAAACTCGAGTCTAAACAAGATAATAAACTCGAGCCTAAACAAGATTATAAACTCGAGCCTAAACAAGATAATAAACTCAAGTCTAAAAAAGAAAATAAACTCAAAAACACTNATAAACTCGAGCCTAAACAAGATAATAAACTCGAGCCTAAACAAGATAATAAACTCGAGCCTAAACAAGATTATAAACTCGAGCCTAAACAAGATAATAAACTCAAGTCTAAACAAGAAAATAAACTCAAGTCTAAACAAGATAATAAACTCAAGTCTGTTATATCTCTTGGATCTCTTACTATTTCAGATTTTGCCAAACTCGAGCCTAAACCAGAAAATAAACTCGAGCCTAAACAAGATAATAAATTCGAGTCTAAACAAGATAATAAACTCAAGTCTAAACAAGATAATAAACTCGAGCCTAAACAAGATAATAAACTCAAGTCTAAACAAAATAATAAACTCCAGTCTAAACAAGATTATAAACTTAAACCTAAAGAAGATAATAAACTCAAGTCTAAACAAGATTATAAACTCGAGCCTATACAAAGCCTTGATAGGTATATATACCACCCAATTTGTAATTCAAATACTCAATCGAATTAAATTTAAAGTTACAAAGCGTCCCCAACACCTGAAATAATACTCCACACTGAATTCTTAATCAGTTGAACACATTTTTGAACAATTAATAATTAGTTGAACACATTTTTGAAAATTAGTTGAACACATTTTTGAACATGTAATAATTAGTTGAACACATTTTGAACATTTAATACTTAGTTGAACACATTTTTGAACATAAAATACCTGACATCAGGATTGCTCGCTTAAACAGAGGGCTCCTCTAAACATATAAATATCAAATCAATAAATAATCACTATAATAACAAGTATGCAATCATGACAAGTATAATTGCTGAAAATATTCATTATAAATGTTATTTAATTAATTGCTGATTGTTATTCGACTGATAAAAAAATATCAACAAACATTATATATAAACAAAAGTGATGCGAATAAATGTAATTAGACTAATTTTTATTAATTGGAAAAATAAAACTGTGACCATGAATTGTGAATGATTAAATATATAAAGATGAAGATGTAAAGTCCTAAACGTAACAAGATTCTGTTTTTTTTTTAAGTTTTCTGGAGAATTTTTGCTGTCTTGTAAGTTGTATTCTTGTTTACCTGAGATACTGGTGAAAGTAGTGATGTCAAAGCTGCTCCTTTACCTTGTTCTTGTTTACCTGAGATACTGGTGAGAGTAGTGATGTCAAAGCTGCTCCTTTACCTTGTTCTTGTTTATCTGAGATACTGGTGAGAGTAGTGATGTTAAAGCTGCTCCTTTACCTTGCTCTTGTTTACCTGAGATACTGGTGAGATTACAGGAGAAGTGATGTTAAAGCTGCTCCTTTACCTTGTTCTTGTTTACCTGAGATACTGGTGAGAGTAGTAATGTTAAAGCTGCTCCTTTACCTTGTTCTTGTTTATGTGAGATACTGGTGAGAGTAGTGATGTTAAAGCTGCTCCTTTACCTTGTTCTTGTTTACCTGAGATACTGGTGAGATTACAGGAGAAGTGATGTTAAAGCTGCTCCTGTACCTTGTTCTTGTTTACCTGTGACACTGGTGAGAGTAGTGATGTTAAAGCTGCTCCTGTACCTTGTTCTTGTTTGCCTGAGATACTGGTGAGATTACAGGAGAAGTGATGTTAAAGCTGCTCCTGTACCTTGTTTACCTGAGATACTGGTGAGAGTAGGAGAAGTGAAGCTAATGCTGCTCCTGTACCTTGTTTACCTGGGATACTGGGGAGAGTAGGAAAAGTGATGTTAAAGCTGCTCCTGTACCTTGTTTACCTGAGTTACTGAGGAGAGTAGGAGAAGTAATGTTAAAGCTGCTCCTGTACCTTGTTTACCTTGGATACTGGGGAGAGTAGGAGAAGTGATGTTAAAGTTTCTCCTGTTCCTTGTTTAACTGGGATACTGGTGAGAGAAGGAGAAGTGCTGTTAAAGCTACTCCTGTACCTTGTTCACCTGGGATGCTGGGGAGAGTAGGAGAAGTGATGTTAAAGCTGCTCCTGTACTTTGTTTACCTGGGATACTGGGGAGAGTAGGAGAAGTGATGTTAAAGCTGCTCCTGTACTTTGTTTACCTGGGATACTGGGGAGAGTGGGAGAAGTGATGTTAAAGCTGCTCCTGTACTTTGTTTACCTGGGATACTGGGGAGAGTAGGAGAAGTGATGTTAAAGCTGCTCCTGTACCTTGACCCATCAAGGTTACACTTTCACTGTCTCCTCCAAACTGAGAAATGTTCTCCTAAAAAATCATAATTACCAAAATAAAGATACATTCATCTAGAAAAATGGACCTAAAATTAAAATGTTATAAAAACAAATTATAATTGCAATTTTAAACCATATAGACGTATTTATTGATCTACATTAAATAAAATATTTTATTTTACCATATTCTAGTCAAGTTTGTTTCATCGAATAGGAATAGTGATTTTTGTAAGAAATTCCAAGTTTACAGCAAAAAAAATAATTATCGGATTTACTATCCATAAGTTTCGTATTTATTGTCCAATCAAGAATGAACTCAAAAATATATATGAATTGATTTGGGCCATTGTAATTAGACAGAAGGAGAAAGTCACATCTCTGTAATATTACTGTTCCAACTTTATGTCTTTGTAGCTCCTCTAGTTTTAATTTCATGCACAAGTGTAAGAAAACCAAATTTAATAATAGTGTGAATCCAACCTTGGGTTCACAACTTGTATATAGTACCGTACAGTTTACTAACTCTTTTCGCAGCCTGACGATCCAACAGGCTTGACCCTAAAGGATATTGAACCCTTCCCTATCTTGTTTATCTCAAGTCGATATAGTTAACCAGGGCAAAGCTAGGGAGGAATTAATGCTGGAGAAGGAAGAGTAATGGCATTCTATGTACAAGGTAGAAAGGAGTTTCATTGGCCATCTCATGCCACAAACCAAGCAAGTTCTTATCAAGTACCGAATCAGAAGGGTCGAATGGAAATATATTCGACACAGGCAAATGTTGTGTTAATTAGATCAATATTCGTTAATCCAGCATTAACCGTTTGTATCGTTAAAATGTAAATATAGTTTGTGTACAAAATATATTTAATTATTCCACTCAATCATGGCTTTTTACGACCAGTATTTTTTCAAGTCTATAATATTATTGAAAACATAAAAGATTTCAATGTTATGTACAATTAATGTTAGTTTGACCTGGGGCTCTATGTGTGTTTGTGCACCCTTGTTTTTTCAGTCAAGCAGAAAAATGAAAGCTGTTAAGATGTGTGTAGGAAGAAAGGAAGGGGTAGGAGAGGTTAGGGGGTAGGTTTTCTGGGGATTTACATGGAATAAGAAAATGCGGGTGGCGGGGCGGGAGAAGAGGTAGGGTAGGGGTTGAGCAGGTATATTTGACAGGAAGGTCTCCTCAAAACATTGCAGACTTGTGCCTTTACTCGCTCTATCAACTGTTAAAATATACTGTTGCTGCAAACTAAACATAATTAGAAGGTCAAATTTATGCAATATTACTGCAACGACTTTGTGACCTCAGAGCTCCTCTAATTTGGATTTTAAGAGAAGAGCAAATCTATCTGGTGACATATTAGAAATTCAAAACATTTTCATGAATAGCTCTATAACAAGAGGAGTTATGATTGGAAACATAAAATAGTTCAAAATACGTACCAGGGCTAAATTTATAACGGTCACAGACCTTTATAAATTCAAATATATGTATATAAATACAGTTGAAAAATATATATAAAAAATCTGAGACCACATAATCAGACCAGCCAGCCTAAATTTGTGTATCTGAAACATTTTAGGTTCACTACGTAGTAGTTGCATATATAACATACCGGTTCATTTTAAGTACCGAGCCTACTTTTAAACATTTCACAATCTGACAATATAAGACAAAACGGAACGGTACGCCAAATAAATTAACCCTTTCTAGGTAGACGATTGTTTGTAAGATTACACCAGACCAGCCAGTACCAGTATATTGCGTAAGTGTTTGGATCTAGCAACAAAAAAAAACTATGTCTAGTAGTTCAGCTATGTTTATTTCAATTGTTTCCTGTATCTAGGGATGTTTTGGATTTGAAAAAATTGTTTTTAAAAACTCTAAAACTTCTTTAAAATTTAAAACGGAAAACGAAGAAAACTTGTTTTTCGCTTTAATTCCGGCAAACAAAAAATATAGTTTTTCGTTTTAAAACGTAAAACGGGAAAAGTTTGTTTTCTTTTTAAAACGAAAAACGAGAAAAGTTGTTTAATACCTGTATCCAGTGTAAAGCTGCAAGTATATCTAGTAAACCAAAGTTACCCATCCCTCTCTCTTCTGTTTTGAGGAAACCAAGAAACCCCAGTCTATAGTTTAGGGTAACCACAACTACCTGAAATAATTTCAATTTTTTTCTTAAATCTTACCAGGACTGTTATAGTATTATTAACTGACTCGATATTTGTAGAATTGCATGAATGATTAAAACAGTTAAAACCTTGCACAATCAAGTATGACAGAGATGTCCTTATTTTTCCAACAAAAAATTGGAAAACGGGAGCTTGTACACTTAATGCTAGTGCAAAATGCACTAAATTCCTAGCTTTAAAAGTGTCACCAGGCCTTTATCTGACCAAATTATCACATTCACCATCTTGGATACGCTTGCTTCCGTTTCAAATGAGTATTTGACAAAATTTGATAGATTTTTGCTTTAGAATTTGCTCGTTTACCGGGGCTTGTAACTTTCTAAATTAACAGAGCACTGGTAACAAACTCTAAATTTTAAATCCATATATCTTTAAACCCTGATGGTACCTTTTTTGTTTAAAATATAAAAGGTTTACGACATGAGGTTGCAATATATATAAAGAGTTGTTCAAAGAATTGTAACTACTGAGGATCGTCATGATGGCGTGAAACATTATGTTTAGTATAATTTTTTTTTAATAAAAAATGTGAAGTTGAAAACTTATATATATATATATACATATGGATTCGAAAACTAGAATTTGGAATCAGTTCCTGAGCTAATGAATAAATTTACGCACAGTGACAATCAAAAAACTCTGAAATGGGAAGACGACTTTTAGACTCAAGTTATGACTTTAAATAGTTTAATGAGCATCGGAAACAGATCCATTTCACTAAATGAGTGATTTAATAAGTATCTATAACATCAAACACACTTAAGTATTGCTTTAAAGTCATCTTCCTATTCCATTGTTTTCTGGTTCTCACTGTGCTATATAAATATTGTAAGAATAAACCTGTCCGTAGCTGGCTAGTACACTCCCATCATAAGGATTACCAGAGTTCCATTCATAACTCTCTCCGTGTACAAATACTATCACAGGCAGCTTACGGGGATAACTCGACACTAGAGAAATGTTACCTTATTGTAAATTACTACCTGAGATGAGATTTTAAAAACTTAAACCGCAGTAAAACCCAAACTCGGGCTTAGATAGAACCCAAGTCAGGATTGGTTCTGATTCGACCAATGAGAGACTGTTTAGCAGACGGAATGCCGTCAGATCAGCTGTGACAAGGAGATGTAAATTTCGAAAATTCAAACTTTATGTAGATACATTATTTTCATAGTATGTTTATTTTATATATTTAATAAAATTTGACACCACAAATAATTCCCGAGATTTTAAGTGTACAAATATAAAAGATTTTTTCGAAATTTGCGATCATCAGCTTCTGAAGACTCTAGCCTTAAGGAGAGAAAACCCCAAGATGGTTGGTTTTTACTAAACTCAAAGTCATCCAAAACCTGGGTCTTGACTTGAGCTTTACTTGGGTCTAAGCAGAGGCAAAGACTGGGTTCTAGTCGGGTTTAAGCTTTTAAAATCTCATCTCTGAAGTGTTCCGAAATGAAAAGTGGAAAAAACCTTAAGTGAGTGTTTGGCTTGACATGACAGTTGGGCTGAGATTGCAGTATAAAAGAGACATTTTTTAGAAATCATTTGAGACCCGTAAGACATTAATACAGTGTATAATTGCTAAATAGCTCTTATTAAATCGATCTTTATATTCCTCTTTGACGCTTACCTCAGGCAGGTTATGTCACAGCACGGGCCACCGCTGCCGTACGTGAGGCCATGCCACGCCCAATCTGAGCCACAACCACCGTACAAATGTCTTCTAGGTCTCAAATGATTTCTAAAAATGTTTTCCATACTACTGCACTATCAGTTCAACTACCATGTCTAGCCAGACACTCCCTTTAAGAAGTATAACCGGGGGTTAGGGTTGATAAATAGATATGCCTAAGCAATGCATCCTACCTGCCAGTTTCTCTGGAGTGTAGATGTTTAGATATAAACAGTCTTCACTCTGATTCTTTTGAAGATATTTAAACAGCTTCTTTAAATAGTTCATTCGACCAACAGTCATATATCTGATAGTCATAACATCCATTTCTAAATAATTGAGTCTTTGCCACAAACTCTGACTTTCTAATTCTTATGCCTTAGACCTTAGATATTTCCAACTATGAATTATGTTATAGTAAACAATCTAAGTTTGATATATCAAAGGGTTTCAATTCATCAGGTTCCAAAGATACAGGGATTAGAAAGTTTGAGTTTGAGACAAAAACTAAATTCCTTTAAAATGTCAGTAATTTAAAACGCTGGCAAATAATTAATATACAAAAATAAGTTCTATGTTTTCAATTAAAAATTAAACCTTGATCCTTTTGATTTTAATGATTCTGAAATGAATTGCAAGATTCGTTGACAGCTATTCATTTTGTATTATTTGAGCGTAAAGTAAGGTTACCACAATTTTTGGGACGAGCGCTGCGGCTAGGATTGGCTAGGTGACTTTGGCCGCGGTTAAGACAGGTTTTGTCACTTGGAGCTGTGGCCAAATGTTTAACATAAAGCTCTGTGAAACCATATGCGAGTAGTTCAGAAGTGTAGTATAACGGATATGTAACATAGGTCTGAAGTGAAGTATAGCGGATGTTCGTAGGTCGAAAGATACATCAAAAAACTGTCAAAATAAGCTAATATAAAAATGGAAGAGTTCCTGAGAGCTTCCTTCTCCTTGGATAGATCTGGAACTATTTGTGGACAAACAGGTCCGTATTCATCAACTGATTAGAAACAGAACTTAAACTAAAACAGGTCTGTATTTATCTACTGATCAGAAATAGAACTTAAACTAAAAACTTTGCTTCAAAGTGAATCGGTTTATAAATTGTTTCTTATCGTTTTTAAACTTTTTATCTCCAGTCCTTGTAAGGTGAATATATGTTAATAATTCTCCTATTTAAATTGGTTTGGGACACTCTTGTATGTAAAATATTTACTTAAAAAACGTTATTACTATACAATGCTTGTCTATATTTTGAAACATTTGTACAGTGCGTATTTAGTGCATAAAAAGTTGCATTACAAAGAAGTTAAAATTACGTAAGAAATATTTTTATTTTGTGTGTTTTTACTTTACTTTTGGAGCCTGTAACTTTTGTTAATTGTTTAATAAGTTCTATTTTCCTTTTCTAACAACTTCCTGGGGCCAGGAGAGAGGTGCACTAGGGGGCATAAATCTCAAACGCCCCACAGGGGCCCCTAGTATACAAGCACATATTATTTTTGTTATAATTAAAATAAAAAATTAATTAAAATTGTTTAGAAAACATTACCTGCGTATGGAACCCCTAAGTACGACTCTACAGGTCCCAAACTTGAGGACGCAGGTACTGAAAACACATCTTTGGAAATTTAATCTAATCCAATATAGTTTATTCTTGTGTATATATCTCTACAGGTCCCAAACTTGAGGACGCAGGTACTGAAAACACATCTTTGGAAATTTAATCTAATCCAATATAGTTTATTCTTGTGTATATCTCTACTTATCTCTACTCTCATATCTTTAATATCCCCCAGAACATACCGCCAATATAAGCCCTTTATTGACATATGAGGATAAATATTTACAATCCGCATAAGTACCCCACCCCACCTACTCACTACTTTTGATCTGCCGCTTCACATAGATCCAGATTGCTGTAAAAGGTTGCATCAATTGGCAAGGCTAGGCCTTTGATCTTATTTTTTGTAACCCTATAGTCTTGTGTATTTAAGAAATATATATAGCATTTGTTACAATGCTGAAAAGTTCATTTAAAAACACTTAAGCAGATGGAATTATGATAATTAATTAAAAAACTAAAATTATAAAAACCTCAAATATCTTCATTTAATGCAATGAAATCAAAAGTGAAGAAATAAAATTTTTAAAAAAACTTTTTAATGCCTCTTCATTTCTGTTTAAAATATCTAAATGAATGCTGAAGAGATTTTAAATATTTTAACGAGTTTAGAATCCGAAGGATGTAAAATTTGAAAGATCTTATTTAAAATCAAATATTTGAGGTAATGAGAGGTTTTCATGGAATTAGATAATTGTAATTGTAAACTCACCAACTACTATACCCTGGAGTTTACCCTGCTTAACCCTGACAATCCTGCTGTTCCTGGCCCCCAGACCCTCCTCTCCGTACACCATTAATAGTATCATGTACACACACAACATCATAAGTTCTTCTCAATGCAGAGATCTCAGACAAGATTTCAACACAGATTTCCTTGTAAGCATTTTCAGACGGAGTATAGGTTAGTTTTCTGCATTTTATTTTCACATTCACGGAGTTGAATATTCATGTTCATAATTTGAACAATTTTCACATTTCAATCTTAGCGACACTTTTTAACGGATATGTTTTCATTCTGTTAGAGATAAATTAGCTCGGGTTTTTGTTAGACTTTGCTCCGTTGAGTTCACACCAGTCTACTTCTTAACTTTCTTAACTTTCATAACTTTACTTCACATTCTAAACCTGTAGCATATATACTCTGTTTCAAAATTATTATTTAATGCTTGACAACATTCGGCGTGTTTTTAAATTCCAGCTTTCCTTTTCATAAAGAACTGTTTTACCGAATTTAATAGCTTGAAATATCTCTGAAGCATTTTCTATCAAAAAGATCTTTAAAAGATTTCAGTCTAAATAGAAGAATGCAAATAGAATATGAGACAGTATTTAAAACATGTATGCATTGATTATATGCATAGTTCTGCAGGTCTGTAAACTGTAAAGCCCAGCTGGAGAAAGGCGCAGGTCAACTTGATCCTACTACTTGGCCTGCACTGCCTCTTACACTGCCTTACATCCTGCTTGAACAGGGATTCATCATCTTCACCCAATCTGAGAATATTTTAAAGAACTTCTTGTATTAACAAAACTTTCAAAATAAAAAATCTTTTAAAAAAATTATCATTAAAATTTAAATCTATTTTGTCTGATTAATAGACTCAAATGTTAAAACTTGAAACCAAAAATTTATTTTTCATGTTCATTGATTGTTTAAATTCTAAACAGGTAGAAGGAAGAAACAAGGGGTCATCTTACAGTAAGAACTTTGCATAATATTCCCCCCACCCCCCTATTCAACTTTACCCCCCCTCTTCCGAAACTGTCCCCTCCTTTTCAAGAGCGTTTATATACACTGTAAGATGAACTTATTAGACTGAATGTTCTTACTTAAAGGGACTATAAGCGTAATTTTAAGTAGGTCTCCTTGCAATGCCCTTTTTACAATTGTACAAAACCTTTGTCTGATCAAGTATGTATTGTTTCATTTTCATTGTAGTTTCTCTGAAAGAGCGACTTGCGCTTTCCTTGCTTATAGGAAGCAACGGAGAACCGCACAGAAATAAACCCGTCAAAAAAATGACGACTTCTTCTACAGTTTTGATCAGATTAAGGTTAAGGGTAACGTTGTGAATCGGGCATTGTCATCTTTAAATGGAGGTTCACTTAACATCACGCTTACAGTTCCTTTAAAAAGTTATTAGATGTTAAAGAAATATTACTAGAAATAATTGTTAGCACAACAATTTTATATCTCTTTGTGTTCATACATACTCTCTTAAGATTTATATCTCTTTGTATTTATACATACTCTCTAAAATTTTAGCTTGTCATTAGCGGTCAGAACTAGTAAATAGTAATATAGGTTCTAAACTAAACATGAGAATAAGTTCAACGGCCCTGTATATACTGGACATGATGAATTGATGACTAGTTAGTTTAGTCACTTTGATTTAAAGGTCTCGCGCTCTCAAGCACAAATCTATGATAATATTGCCAATTACTCCTTAAAAACAAAAGTTAACAAAAAGTGTTTTATATGGCTAAAATGTAAATAAAAAGGGCTACAGAAAAGCATTAGTGAGTTAGAGCGGTAAAATGTAAGCCCAAGGCGTTGCGAAACTTCAATTTCAACCAAGTTTTAAAAATTGATGTTTATAAGCAGACTGAATCTTTGTGTAATGTTAACATTCACGGTTACATACTCGGTATGAGACTGTAAAGACGACGTAAAACTCATAAAATATTAAGTCTCTGCCTTGAATATCGTCTTTTAATGGCTTATTTATTGACATTGCAATGAAAAAACCGTTTACAGATGCTGAGAATCCTAAATATAAGGAAATAGAGACAGAATGAATTCTTTAGTGTAGTCTCTGCAGAAGTCTCAATCCTGTATTATTAAAACAGTTATTATGCGTAAAGGAATTGAGTTGAGTACTATGCAGGATATCAAAGAAAAATGTAATTAATCTGTAGATTAACAAAAGATCGATATCAAGCATTGATCTTGATATCCAAAATACAAGAGTTTTCAGGTCTTTTAAGATAATGAACTCCATGACTTTAAAGGGAGTGTTCGCGAACAATGAAAGGGGGTATAAGCTTACGTCGAAAAATATTCGACAGTGATTGCTACTAATCTTACTTCTGTCTGTTGCGTCTATAAGGAGAAAATTGTTAAAAACGACTCATTCATACCAAAGAACGTAGCGTCCATACAAATTCAGAAAATTGCAATATTCGACTCGGATCGTTAAAAAATAAATTAATTCCAAACAATTCATTCAGATACTTTAACCTATAATCAACGATTTTTTTCGACGCATTCTATTTAGCCTATACCCCCTTTTAATTTTTGCGAACGTACACTTTTATAATATTAAAGCGGGCCGTATCTAGTAAACACATTACGTAACAAAAATAATGGCATATAGATATATGTTATGTATAATCTGTATTTTATATTTAAATGCAACAATGTATGGTATACATAAGAATCGGTCGTATACACAAATACTGCAAACTATAGATAGAAGGAGAAGTTCAAATATATGCGACTTTGTGACCTTATAATACCTCATCTCTAGTTTCTTCTTTTCTTTCTAGCATAAGATCAGAGTATTTATTCGACAAGATATATTTGTTCTTCAACAATAGTAGATATGATTGAAACATATATTTGTTCTTCAACAATAGTAGATACGATTGAAACATATATTTGTTCTTCAATAATAGTAGATATGATTGAAACATATATTTGTTCTTCAACAATAGTAGATATGATTGAAACATATATTTGTTCTTCAACAATAGAAGATATGATTGAAAAATATAAGATTTCAATATTTCTTGCAATTTACTTCAGTTTACCGTGCAATGTTTTTTTTTCTATAAATATTGCATTAAAGAGAACTGTAGATAATTGTTAAAAATATTGTCTTTTTCTGAAATTTAACAATTTATAAGTTGTTTACCATGATGAAGTTTAATTAGTATATTATACTGCAAATATTTACACTTTAAAGCTTTGTACTTCTTATGATATGATGGTGTTAAAGAAAAGATTAAATGAATCTATCTACCCTATTCATTCCATGACACTATTAAGAATCAAGTTACAAAGCCTCTTTAAAGAAAACCTCCTAATAAAATTATATAAATACATAGATTAATTGATCTGCTATTTATTGTAAATAGCCATTTCTAAACTGCAGAATGTAAAAAAAATTGTACCTTTGGGATAAAATTTGAAAAAATCGTGAATAATTTTCGAATTTTAAACTTTTATCCTTTAGGAAAAAAATGATAAAGATATTTTTTTTTCGGCCAGTGAAATGTGGAGGTAATTTGACCCGACCCTACACAGCCAGTTGCAGTTTCATGTCTCGCTATGCAATGAGAGTAAGTTTATAAGTTAGCATGCTTTATTTAAATAAGGCTAAAAATAAATAGTTTTGTACAAAAAGTGAAAAACTTGACGTGACAATAGTTTTCTCATATATGTGTGAAATATGCATACATATATATATATAAATGTATATATATATTTACATATATGTAGAAGTGAAAACTTTAATTAAAAAAGTAAAATATTTTACAAAAAAAATATTGAATAATGAAGAGATTCAATTCTCTAAAGATTTCCTCGATTTCCTTGTGAAGAAATTGAGTCTTTTTCACAAACTCTGATTTTCTATGAATAAACTTAGATTAGTTTATCTGGTTTTGAAATATCAAAGGTATCAGGTTTTAAATATATGGGATTAGCAAATTGAGTTTGTGGCAAAGACTCAATTCCTTTTTTTAATTCTTCATCTTGACCCACCATGTAATGACTGTGAGCTTTAACGCAAAAATCAGAGAGAATGTTGGTTCATTTATTTCTTAGAAACAAATTTTAATTTTTCCTATAATAAAGTGCTTGGCGATTATATCAATACAATGAAGACGACATTTTATTAAATTGCTAATTGTTAATAAGCTTTTTTTCAAATTACAAGTTTACAAGTAATCAAAGAGAAGCTTTTTAAATTAACAACTTTTCTTGACTTCTATGTTTAGTATATCTATGCTGTTTGTTTCATAGAATTCAAAATAATTGAAATTAAAAGTTTTCTCCATTGCATTGATATAAACGCCGACACAATTTGTTTATTAGTCTAGAATTCTTGTGAAATGGATTCTTGCGTTTTCTCTTTGTTTGTTGGAACCTGCAGCAGGCATTATAGGAACAGGTAAATAAACAAGTTAAAATCTCTATTTATGTTTTCAATACAGGGAAAACCAGAAAACTGTGGAATAGAAAGACGACATTCTAGCAAAACTAAAGTTTATTTGATGTTTTGGATGATAAATGGGTCTGTTTACATTGCGCAATTGCTGTGTGCCTGATGTTCATTGCACTATGAGTCATAACTTGAGTCTAAAGTCGTCAACCTATTTCACAATTTTCTATTTCTCACTGTCCCTAAATATTCTAAGACAGATTTGGGCTTCTTGATTTTGTACATCTTAACGATGTAATTTTATCTGCCAAAATTTAGATTTTTAATTAATTTAAAATCTTAGATTTCAATTTGTTCCCAGTCTAAACCATTCATCGAGATTGGTCAACCCACTCGATCCTAGGAAAGGTTTATCGAGGGGAGGAAGGGGCCAACCACATCAATCTCTAGTCCGAACCACATTCTCCTTTCAATATTATTGTTTCTAAGTGTCTAAGCCTTACAGATAAAACTATTTTTAAAGAATCGGGCCACGTTAGGGCATAAATGAAATATCAAATTTTTGAAAAATCATTTTCATGGGTTTGAAGATTCCAACATGATGTCATCATAGCAATACTTTAGTCCATCCATATTTTATGCCCTAACGTGGCCAGATTTTTAAAAAATAGTTTTATCTTCAAAAATTGGAAACTTTTTAACACAAAATAATCGAAGGACGAGGATTCCGAGGTGGTTCGGACGAGAAAATGAGAAGAATGTGGTTCGGACTAGAGATTGATGTGGTTGGCCTTCCTCCCCTCGTTTATCGATGCTTAGAATTTTAAAAATGTGTCTCCAAAATTTTAGATTTTCGTAATTTTTGTAAATCCACGAACATATATATATGATGAAATCCGCAAACTTTTTGTGATTGTTTTATATTGTACGAGAAGAAAATAATAAAAGATGGGCGCGAAGCTCTCTGAAAGCCTAGTCTATATATCATTACTACATGAATATTCTGTAGGTGAATGTAAGGCAAAGGATGGTATGAAATTGAAAAGTAACGATACTGTCGATGGAGTTGGGATACTTGGAATGAAACTATTGGATGAATTGAGCAAAACATCCGAGGATAATATAATTTGTTCTCCTTTTAGCATTGCAACCACAATGGCAATGGTAAGATTCTTGTATAAATACATGTCCTTTACTTGTCCGTTTGTATCCAATAAACGTCAAAACGGCCTAACTGATCGGGCCCAAATTTCGTGTGGGACCTCACATGACCCCAGGGAAGTTTTATTAAACATCAAAATTGGAAAAGAAAATTCATGAAAAAATCTGCCAAAATTTATAAATGATTTAAAATAGAAGTGCCTCCCTATTTTTTTACATTGAATTGTTAGGTGTACGGAGGAGCTGGTGGGAAAACGGAAGGAGAAATGAAAAAAGTATTAAAAGTATCAAAAGATTACAAAGTAAGTGCTGCTAAATAATAAAAGAGAAATTATTTTTTAAAAGTATATATCTACTGGTGCATTATTTGATTACTTAATATTAAAATTTACTGATCCATTTCTAGAACGAGTATCACGCCCTATTAGGATCTTCTAGTTCTAGGCAGGGTGTAACTTTAAATGTTGCAAATTCTGTCTTTACTGAGGTAATTTTTTTGTAATTCTTTGCAATTTTTAACTTCTTATAAAAACAAATTGTTTTAAATTGTATAATATCTTTGCCACAAACTCTGATTTTCTAATCCCTATATCAAAGCAACCCTATGTTTTAAACTTTGAATTCTGTTAGATCAAATAATCTAAGTTTAAACGTCAAAGGTTTACACCATCAAGTTGTAAAGATAGAGGCATTAAAATATTTGATTTGTGACAAAGAATCAATTCCCTTTTAACATATCGTTTTTCTATTTTGAATAATTTCAGTGGTAACAGGTTTCTTGCATTCTCATATTTGTTGCTTAAAGTCTCAATATTTAAATTTGGAACGTTTACATTTTGTGTTTGTTTAATGAAATATTTGTTTTCAGAAAACTATTGGAATTATAGATGATTTCAAATCAGATGTAGAATGTTATTTCAAGGTAAACATTTTCTTCTTCTCATATAAATTAAATCATGTTTTACATTTATTGAAAATAAGATATTTATTCTAATCTTAATATATGATTACAAATCCTTTTCGACTGAATTTATAAATAAGCAACAATTTTATTTAAATAAATTTGTTTCCCTAATTATTTTCTAATATTCATATAGCTTTGCAATCCAATGTTGAAAACATTTCAAACTATGAATTCAGTTATTTCGAAAAGTCTAAGTTTTAAATATCTAAGGTTTATACTATCAGGTTGCAAAGATATAGCAGGGATTGGACCATTTGAGTTTGTGGCAATAACTGAGTTGCTGAAAATGTGAATTTAAATTTACATGTTTTTTATTTTTTTTTTTTAAATCATAAGTTTGGTGTATTGTCAAGACATACGAAATTCGCATTACAAGACTGTTAAAACTATTAATTTTTAAAATTTTAATTTAATGCAAGTATTTTGATATTTCTGTTTTTCTAAATCTCCATTTTCTTCTTGTTAAGTTCGTGCTTAATCCATCCTGTTGGGCATATTTTAAAAAAGAGATAAAAAATTTTGTAAAATAAATAGGGAAAAGCTGAGGACTCAGAATTCAAGAAGAATCCAGAGAAAGAAGTGAAACGTATCAACAGGTAAAGTAAGAAGTATCAATATCAACAGGTAAAGTAAGAAGTATCAACAGTTGAAGTAAGAAGTATCAACAGGTGAAGTAAGAAGTATCAACAGGTGAATTAAGAAGTATCAACAGGTGAAGTAAGAAGTATCAACAGGTGAAGTAAGAAGTATCAACAGTTGAAGTAAAAAGTATCAACAGGTGAAGGAAGAAGTATCAACAGGTGAAGTAAGAAGTATCAACAGGTGAAGTAAACAAAGTGAACAAGAATAAAAGGGCTTTTAAACATTTTGTATACCTTTAATGTTTTAGTTGGGTAGAGGAGAAAACAAACGGGACGATAAAGGTACGCATTTAGTTTGAACATATATAGGGATTAGAAATTTTGAGTTTGTGGCAAAACTCAATCCTTTTCTCATTTATTGTGTTTTCTTGAGCAGGAAAATGTACAGGAAAATTTCGCATTTTGACGCAAATGCCATGCCGACATTGATGGCAAATTGAGCGGTGAAAATGCGTAAATTCCACGCAATATTGTGTGCGTATTCCGCATAATTTTTTTGCGTAAAAATGCGAAAAATCACGCTAAAACTAGCGCTAAATATGCCGAAATTTGCATCCGCTGGACACCCTGTATGGCACTCTTATAGTTATTCAATTGGAACAAAAGTCTCTTTAAAAAAATTTCCTCAAAAAAATAGTTATTTAAATTTTTGTTCGATAAAACTCAAGTTTGCTAAATCATCTACTTTTGCTAATTAATTTCAAACACAAACATATAAATTATACTTGATAATAGGATCTTCTCAAACAAAATATGATAAATTATATAAATTATATAAATTATACTTGATAATAGGATCTTCTGAAACCAAATATGATAAATTATACTTGATAATAGGATCTTCTGAAACCAAATATGATAAATTATATAAATTATGATAATAGGATCTTCTGAAACCAAATATGATAAATTATATAAATTATATAAATTATACTTGATAATAGGATCTTCTGAAACCAAATATGATAAATGCAGAAAGTGTTATGGTGCTCGTCAATGCTATTTACTTCAAAGGTTAGTAAAATTAAATATTGTTTTCTTATAAAAAAAATTATACAAAAATAAAATATGAAGATTTTGAACTTTTTTTAACGCGTATTTTTTAAACTGTTTAGGTGAATGGGATGAAAAGTTTAAGCAAGAAAAGAAGAGGGACTTCCATGTCAGGAATCAATGAAATTTTCATAAATTAATTGTTGTCTTAAATTATAGATTGCAAAAACCAGCAGTTGCTATCATCTGACTAATCACATAATTTTGTAAATAAGTTTGTTAAATATTTTCTTATATAGATATCAAAGATTTGTTGTTTCTAATTGATTAAGCAGAGCAAAAGAATTTGTTTAACCTACCGCCGAATTTAAAGAATTTGAGCGGCGGTTTGAATTTAAGCCGCGGTTTAAATATGATTGATTCCACTTAAAATTGTATCAAATGTTTCAAGATTTAAGCCGGCGCTTAATTTAAACCGGGTTTTAGCGGATTTAAACCGCGGCTCAAATTCTTTAAATTCCATCTCTAGTTCCTTTAAATATTTTGGTAAAAAAAAACAAGGAGTTTCTGTTTCTGAATTCAATTTCTTGATTTTAAAGTGATAAGAAGAAGATTAGTGTTAAATTTATGCAGAGGGTAATTATTAGATCTTATACATACATATCTACATACAAGTAACTACAGTGATAACCAGAAATCGACTTTTAGACTCAAGTTATGACTAAGAATAGTCCAATAAACATCTCGCACAGCAACTGTTCAGTGTAAACAGACCCATTTCACTTTAAATATTTGAATTTTTAACTAGTTTATAGCAATTTGTTTGGTAACAGCATCAATGCACTTCAGTATTGATTTCATGTCTTCTTCATTTTCTACAGTTTTCTGGTTCTCACTTTAACAAAAAAATAAATTGAAAGTATTTTTTTTTTTAAACTAAATTTTAGGCAATTATCTTCAACCCAACTGAGAAAGCAGTTAAAAAATTCCAAATTAAATTGAATGAAACCATAAAATAATAGATATTTTTAATTATTATAATTTCTATTTAGAAAGGAAAGATTAATTGCACTAAAACAGGAGACTCAATTATCATGNAATAATAATAATAATAATAATAATAATAATAATAATAATAATAATAATAATAATAATAATAGTAAAAATAATAACAATAATAATAATGATAATAATAGAAATAATAAAAAAATATTAAACAAAAAAAAGCACAGAAAATAATTACTGATCTTTGTTCTAAGAATGTCAAAAATAAATTTGATTGAAAATGTGTTTTTAGGGCAAGAAGTATCAATGTACATAGGAACTCATTAGAAAACAAAAATTGGGTTATATTGATTTTGAATGCAAAAAAAATTTAGTTAGAAATACATGAAAACCTAACACAGGTATTCCCAGAACACTGTGAACTCGACAAAGGGAGAAGGTAAAGTTTATGTGACATCACTGATGCGAATTTGTGACCTCGTACCTCGAATTTGAGACGCGTCTCAAATTCTTTAAATTCGGCCTCTAGTTAAATATTAGAAATTCAAAACAGGTTTAATCTTCTCAATATCTCTTGAATAAGAAGAATAAAATTTGAAAACACATAATATCGTTCCAATTTACTTTATTCTGACGTCATAATAAACCAAAACTTTTAAAGTTCTAATGTGTCAAGTATTTCCGAAGCTGAAAGGAGACACTCCACTAAAATCCTACATGAAATCAGTGATGGAGAATAAAAAGGAATTCCTGGATCAACTAGACTATACCAAGGAAAGGTGTCCACCCTGTTTAAAAAATCAAAATCTATTTATTCTTAAAGTTTTAAATCTGAATGTCTGCCTAATGTTTGCAGTGAGAAAAAAAAACTTTTAGTGATAAGTTAAAGGGACTGTAAAACTACTATTGATTATTTAAAGGGACTGTAAAACTTCTATTGATTAGTAAAAGGGACTGTAAAACTTCTAGTGATAAGTTAAAGGGACTGTAAAACTTCTAATGATGAGGCAAAGGGACTGTAAAACTTCTAATGATAAGTTGAAGGGACTGTAAAACTTCTAATGATAAGTTGAAGGGATTGTAAAACTTCTAATGATAAGATGAAGGGATTGTAAAACTTCTAATGATAAGTTGAAGGGACTGTAAAACTTCTAATTATAAGTTGAAGGGACTGTAAAACTTCTAATGATAAGTTGAAGGGACTGTAAAACTTCTAATGATAAGTTGAAGGGACTGTAAAACTTCTAATGATAAGTTGAAGGGATTGTAAAACTTCTAATGATAAGTTGAAGGGATTGTAAAACTTCTGATGATAATTTGAAGGGACTGTAAAACTTCTAATGATTAGTTAAAGGGACTTTAAAACTTCTAATGATAAGTTGGAGAGACTGTAAAACTTCTAATGATAAGTTAAAGGGACTGTAAAACTTCTAATGATAAGTTGAAGGGAATGTAAAACTTCTATTGATAAGTTAAAGGGACTGTAAAACTTCTATTGATAAGTTAAAGGGACTGTAAAACTTCTAATGATAAGTTGGAGAGACTGTAAAACTTCTAATGATAAGTTAAAGGGACTGTAAAACTTCTATTGATAAGTTAAAGGGACTGTAAAACTTCTATTGATAAGTTAAAGGGACTGTAAAACTTCTAATGATAAGTTAAAGAGACTGTAAAACTTCTAATGATAAGTTAAAGAGACTGTAAAACAAAACTTCTAATGATGAGGCAAAGGGACTGTTAACATAATTTTAAGCGACCCTCCATGCAACGAAGAAATTGCCCGGTTTACCATGGTAAACTTAAAAGCCTTGTCTGATTGCAATGGTGAATTAGATATCAATGTTAATAAATTAAAAAAATGATTAATTTCAAATGTGGTTTCTCTACAAAAGTGACTTGCGCATTAATACTTCAGGAAGACGTATCAGAATTATCTGAATTAAATACTTTTAAACCTAGAAAAATGACAATAGTTCTCAAAATATTAATCAGATAAAGGTTACAAGGGTACCATTGTGAATCGGTCATTTTTCATAAAGGGTAATTCGATATTTCCATATGGAGGGTGATTTCGCTTTCACACCCTTTAAGATAAATTTTAAAACGCTATTTCTTTTATTGAAAAATGTATTTAAAAGTTTAAAAAAGTTAAAGTTGGGCACCTAGATAGATGTCAGCCTCAACAATTAAACTTATTATGCCAAAATTCAAGATTGAGGCTCTAGTTCAACTTCAAGATGTGTTCAAAAAGATGGGTAACTAAAAAAATAAAAATCGGACAAATGATCCAAAAACGAGCCTTTCAACAAGTTCGTTTTTCCATCGTTTTTGTATCGTTTTTGGATCGTTTTTGCATCGTTTTTGCATCGTTTTCCATCGTTTTCGGATAGTTTTTGGTTCGTTTTTTTGCATCGTTTTTGCATCGTTTTCTATCGTTCTTCCATCGTTTTCGGATCGTTTTTTTCATATATCTTCTGGCTGGGTCAAAATAAGACATAGTTTGAGACCGAAAAATGTTTAGAAAAACACGTTTATGAAACATTTGCTGTTCTTTTATTGTGCCAAATTTTGACCTTGAAAGAAAATAGAGACAAAAACGAGAGATAAACGAACCAAGTGAAATCACATTGCACTATAAGAAAGTGAAGTGATAATTTTTACAAATTTTATAATAAATCTGTGTAGTTAAACAAAAAGATAAATTTTAAAGCTTCCGAAAGTCCTCGTAAAAAAAATCATGTTATTTTCTTCTGAACCATAAAGTCACAATTTCTGATATTGATTTTTCAAATAAATTTAAAAAAGTTTAAAAAGGAATCGAGCCTTTGCAAAAACTTTGATTTTCCAATTTCTAAATCTTAGTCACCCGATGTGGTAAATCTTATATATTTCAAACTATAACTTCTGTTAGATTAAATAATCCAAGTTTAACATATCATAGGTTAACATCATCAGGTTGCAAAACTTTAGGGATTAGAAAAGAGTCAATTCTTTTTTTCTGGACGAATGTTGAGATTTCTAAGAGACTAAAAGTTGGTATTGCAGATTAACTTCAAACTTGGAATGTTCCAAACTGCAAATGCTATAGATTTTAATAGCGTAGATGACACCAACAGATAATAGCATGTCTAATGATTTCACAATAATAAACATGAATGATATTATTGTTTAAAAGAAATAAACATTTCACGTTTTTGTTTAAATTAACCTCTGACAATAATTGACGTTAAAATAAACGAATTAACTCAGTGGCCCAAACTCAAATGGTCTAACTCCTATATCATTGCAACCTGATGGTGTAAACCTTTCATGTTTAAAACTTAGAATAGTTGATCTAACAGAATTCATATTCTGAAATATCAAAGTTCTACTAAATTGGGTTGCAACGATATTGTGATTAGAAAATTTGAGTTTCTGGCAAAGAAGTGTTCATCAAAAAATTCCCAATAAGATGAAGAAAATATAAATAAAAATAAATATTACAACTTTTTGACAGTGTATTTCTTTCCAGGAATAAACCTGGCTTTTAAACGAGGTGCCGAGTTTCCTAATCTTGCTAAAACTGACGGGATCTTCATCTCCAAAATATTGCATAAAGCTTTTATTGAGGTATTTGGGATTTGGCGTAAATAATTGGGAATACGGCAATTATTAGATTCTTAGAATAAAAACCAAAAACGAAATAAACATTTTCTTTTTTATAATCCTTGTCATTAAAGTTTGAGATATAATAACAAATTTGACACCATCACATTGCTAAACTTTGTGCACATCACATTGCTAAAACTTTGTGCACATCACATTGCTAAACCTTGTGCACATCACATTGCTAAACTTTATGCACAACACATTGCTAAACTTTGCGCTCATCACATTGCTAAACTTTGCGCACATCACATTGCTAAACTTTGCGCTCATCACATTGCTAAACTTTGCGCACATCATCACATTGCTAAACTTTGCGCTCATCACATTGCTAAACTTTGCGCTCATCACATTGCTAAACTTTGCGCTCATCACATTGCTAAACTTTGTTCACATCACATTGCTAAACTTTGCGCTCATCACATTGCTAAACTTTGTGAAAAGAAAACCTGAAATGTTGTTTAGGTAAATGAAGAGGGTAGTACTGCAGGAGCAGCAACAAGTAAGTCAAAAAAGTCAAGAAACTTTCCAAATATTAAAGAATACTTAAAATGGGCAAATAAATATTTTTTAACATTTTTTGCTATTAACTGAATTTTGAAAGAAAAAAATTGTAAAACATTGTAAAACTGTTATTGTAACGCAGTCATACTTTAAACATTTGTGATCTAAAAACTTTGGGGCCCTGGATCTTCTTTTAGATAAACAGTTCTATAGAAAATGATTTTTACGTTTGAATCTTAAATTTTATTTCACCGTGACACTTTTGAAAGTTTTATTTTATAAAACTTGTCACAGATGTTCTAGGGAACAAGGACATACTTCTTATCAGATAGATAGATAATTAGGACGGAGACGTCTTCGGGTCTTCGTAGTGTTTCGGATAAAATTCTGAAAATATTCATAGCGAGGGAGATTTAGGACAATTTTATAAGAACCTTCCCACGGAATATATTAGTATAATTCGGAAAATATCTAAATCCCAATTTCGACTCATTGAGTGGACTGGGACCTGAGATATCAAGCGGCTAGGACGGGTTAGGGCTATAAGTGACAAATTTAGAAGATTTCGCAAATACCCTTTCTTTAAAGTTGTCTCAATCAACAGAGTTTGTCTTTCTCAGTTTGACACAGAACTTTGTACACATCAAAAGAATTTATAAAATGTCGTCTTGAAATTATTTCAATTGGGTTTGTACTTTGTACTATTAAACCTAAATCTTAGTATTTGTAAAATTAAAAAGATATATGCGGGAACATTTTTAAAGAGATCAATATAATTATTCAGTTTAAAAACTAAATATCTGCAGGCTTCGCAGTAGATTTACAAAACGACATTTTATAAATTCTTTCGAAGTCCAAGTTCTGGATTAAACTGTAAATTATAAGTTATAACATTTCAGGTGCTCTTGCAAGTATATTTCGAAGTGGGGGTGGTTCAACGCTCAAGATTTTATTAAACAGACCCTTCATGTTCTTCATCAAGGTTAAGTAACCTTCTATTATAAGGATTCCAATCGTAGATCCGTTGTGCGAAAGTGTGGGTAAGTGTTCTCGTGTTGCGCGAAATTGTGCGGAATTGCGCGGAATTGTGTGGAATTGCGCGGAATTGTGCAAAAAATTCCAGGGCCCGCAATTGCGTGCAAGTAAAATCCAATTGCGTTGGAAATCCTTTAAATCATCTTTTTTACAAAGAAAGATAATACCTCTAAAAAAAATAATGTTTTCCTAACACGGAAAGTTTATTTTTATTTCAATTATTCTAAACTATCATAAAGGCCTTTATATAGTCCTGAAGGAATTTAGTCTTTGCCGCAAACTCTGATTTTAAAATCCCTTTATCTTTGCACCCCAATGCCGTAGACCTTAAATATTGGAAACTATGAAATATATTAGATCAAATACTCTGAGATTGAAACATCATTAGGTTGCAAAGATACAGGGATTAGAAAATTGATGTTTGGGGCATAGAATTAATTCCTTTTATTCCAGACTAACTTGAGAACCCAGCCCTGCCCATGTTACTAAAAGTTACTCCAGCCGTTTACCCGCACTAATACGATTTTTACCGGGAACCCAAATTTAGAATCTCAAAACCAAGCTTAAAAACATAACCGTAGCTCGTCCAAGTTCCTCAATCAAAATTTGAGGCAAATCAGTCCAGGGGTTCCTGAGTTATGATCGGACAAACAAAAAGACAAACAAAGTATATACATAAATAGAAGAACCGTTGGAATGATTTTGAAAAAATAAATTATTTGAATGCTTGAATTATGCTAGGATGAGATGACGGGAGTGATTCTCTTTCAAGGAGTTGTAAGAAATCCAAAATAGAACAAAATTAATTTTTTTGATGTAAAATGTCTTTCTATCTAAAAATATATATTTCAAATATAGATGTTGTTCATTATTTAGTTAACTAATGTAATAAATTCATTCAGATTTAATAATAACCAGAAAACTTTTAAACAGGAATTGACGACTTTTAGAATTAGACATCAATTGTGCAGTGTAAACAGACCCATTTTACTCAAATGTCACAGAAAACATGAAGAGAAAATCCATTAGAGTTTATAATATAATGACGTGAGAACCATTTAATATTTTGATATTTAGTTCAGGGTTTAGTATTTGCTCTGATATTCAGGGGTTACCAAAACAAAAGATAAAATTTGCAACAATGCTCTTTAAATCTTTTAGTGATCAAAGCTGACCAATCATTTTATTTCAAGCACTGTAACTAATTAAATATATTCTTAATTTTTAAATAGTTTTTTAGTTTTATTTGTTCATTTTTAAACTAGCTTGGGAACTTAGCGTTGCCCAGGGTATTCATAGTTACTCCCGCCGTTTACCTGCGCTTGGTAATTTACGATTTTACCTTTTTTTTCTTACAAAAGTGGAATCATTCAACTTAGAATGACAGAACAAAGCTATGAACATTTCCGGGGTTCATGAGTTATGATATGTTACACAAACAGACAAACAGAGATATATACATATATATATTACATTATATATCACGTTTAATTTTTGTAAGAGTAACCTAGCGTAAATTGAAAGTTAAAACTTAAGGAAAGTCGCAACTATTTCGGAACACATCTTTTCGTCATTTTTATTAACCGTAAAATTATTGTAATCGTTTGATTTCGAAATTAACGGTTTTTGCCGTTCGTTAATGGACTCTTTTTGGACGATCAGGGATGTTTTCCTAAAAATGTTTACTTTTACGGAAAGAAATAAAACCACATTCATGTTTTCTTTAAAATATGATGATAAGCTTTTGCATTTTTGCACCTTGTACTCTCTGTATTATCTACAGATAAACTCCACCCAATCCAAGGTTATAATGCTAGGAAAGTTATTTAAGAGGTGTACGCATCTTTTGTACTGCAGTGTACTGTCTCTGGGCGGTAATGTAAACACAAGACGGATGTCATGACATGGGATCCATCTTTCACATAAAAATCAATGAAATATTCTTTCTGGTAATAGGAAACTATTATGTGAATTTTAGAAATTTTAAAAATTATATGCTTTAACCTCCTCGGATACTAAACAAAAACTGATTGTTTCCATTCTTGTTTACAAATTCCGCCCAGAGAGAACTGGTTTCAATGTGTACGCAGAGTATATGCAACTGCAATTAACTTTCCTTGCATTATAACCTTGATGGTAACCATCCCAAGGGAAAAAATCATTAAGGAAACATAAGGACGTAGAAATTATTAGCCAAAGTTAGAAATAACAGGTTGCATATTAAAAAGTTAAAGGATGTAGCAGACTTTCATGAAACTAAACTTAGTAGATCAGACATTTCAAATATAGGATTTTTCAAAGATGGCATTTCATATACACGACAATTCAAAGCCTTTTCATAGACAGATAAGAAATTTCATATACAAGGTAAAATTTTGCATCTAATAACTCTAATCTTTATAAAGATAGATCAGGGTTTCCATATAATATGCATATGCCTTGTGTTTCATGATGAGAATGAACAAAATAAATGTACACTGAGAACCAGAAAACTGTGGAATAGGAAGACGACTTTACAGCGAAACATAAGTGCATTTCATGTAGTTACAAAGCAAATAGTTTATTAACTCACTTGTCTAGTGAATTGGATCTGTATTCATGTTCATTTGAGTATTTAAAGTTATAACTTGCGTTTAAAAGTCGTCTTCCTATTATATTCCTAATTGTATTAAGTATAGCTTGCATTGATTTAAAATGATTTCAATTTATAATTAACTTTCTTGTTTCTATAACTTTTCATGAAATGATTTAGTAAATCCACTAAATTGCGTAAATTTGTAGGAGTCATTGTGTACATAGGTTATACAGGAGACGTAAAAATTGCCAAAAAAACACGTTTACCTTATAGCTTATTTACAAGAAATTACAGTGGAATCAGGATAATCTAGATATATGAATAGATTTTACCGATCATAAATCAAAGATGCACGACGACCACAGAGTACTTGTTTCATCCATAGAGAATAGAATATATATTAGAGGGGAATTTACTAGAAAAAAGTGTAAAACGCCCATTTTGTTGTACTGTTTCCATACTGCAGGTGTACTACACAAATCTATGCTATATGACCTTTTGGGCCCTTGAATATCATTTTATAGAAAATCTAAAATTATTGTTAAAAGAAAACCAAATTATGAAATAGGCTGGTTTCATAATTGAACAATCATCATTTCACATAGACTCTATGCCTTTCACTTTACAAACGATGATTTTCCGTTATAACTATAAATCAAATGATGTTTTTTATTCACCTAATTTATTATAAAGTTTATTTAATTCGAAATTGAAATGAATAGTCCAGGGAACATATTGTATTAATGTACTCTACTGAATACAATTTGTGAACATTTACATGATTTGTACACTTTGAACTCCCTTTCAGACTGAAAGGGACTGAAAAAATTCATACCGAGAGATTCTCTGAATTCCCCTCTAATATATATTCTATTCTCTATGGTTTCATTCCAGGTTCGTAGATGAAATACAATTTAAGTTAATAAGTTTTTCAGCTTATTTCAGATATTCTTACATTAGGAATTTAATCTCATCTTTTTATTTATCTCAAAAATTTATTTTATTTTTCGTTTGTAGTCAAAATCGTGTATAAAATACTACCAATCAGAAGGCGTACAGGAAGTCTGGAAATTCAACATTTTGCGCGCCATTTAATAAGGGAACTCCCATTCACCCTGAACTAACGAGAGAGAGAAGCATTCGGTTTCTTTTATTTGAAATCAAACGTGTATTCGTCTATAACTCAACAGTCTTTAAACTTACAGATTTGTTTATTTAATACTTTTTCATTCTAAATATATATGCCAACAAAAAAGTATTTTAGATAAAAGGCTATACAATTATGTAAAAGGGGTCATATTGTGATCGAAAGTCACAGTTTTCTGAAATATTTACAGAACCGTTAGATCCAAGTGCATTGGCTGGAATCTGGAAGGGAATTAAGTAGAAATCAAATGTGTCCATAGTAGATATGTAGATCAAGCAATCAGTAATAATGGTATTCAATTATGAAGTTTTCAGCTCTGATGAATTAAAACTTTGTATTACTTTTGTTAATTGTTTTTGGGCGTGTCTTTTTATTCCTCAATGTTTTTACTCTCTTCATTCTATGAGACAGTATTAGATTCAAGTTACAAAGCCTCTATAAAGAAAACCTGCTAATAAAGTAACATTAATAAAAAGATTAATTGATGTGCTTTTGGTTGTAATTAGCTAATTCTTAGCGGCAAAATGTAAAATGTCGTCTAAAAAATATGAAATAATAGATAATAAATTTTGTATTTGCTTGTCCTTTTTAAACTTTTATTTTGTGAAAAAAAACTTAATGAATTTATCTATTTTTATCGGCCAATAAAGTGTTGAGGTAATTAACCCTGATCATTTACAATCAGTTGCAGTTCCATGTCTCACTGTGCAATGAGAGTAAGTTTATATGTTTTAAATAATAATACCAGTTTGAAAACTCAGCTTATCCTGTATACCAAACTTTCTCTATCAAATTAAGTTAACCCACTTGATTAAGAAATTTCTAAACCAAGCTACGAACATTCCCGTGTTCCTACCGAGTTACCTAATCTAAATTTGAGGTAAATCGGTCAAAGGGTTCCTGAGTTGAGTTAATATGATCGGGCATATTAAACAAACAGAGATTACTACTTTCTCTTGTATATATAAGCTTAATTAAGAAGTCACATAGATTCAGCCTATATATAAAAAGTCTTTTGAATACAAGGTCTTTTTTGAAGTGTCACAACGCCTTTGGCTTTGATTTTACCGATTTGATTATCTCACTTTTGCTTTTTTTATAGCCCTTCGCATGTAAATTTTATTATATAGCACCTGCTGTTAGCTTTGGTTTTTAATAAGTAATTGGCAAAATTCTCTTAGATTTTTACTTTACAGCGTGAGACCTTTAAATCTGTTAAAAGATTTCTCTAATTAATTCATACATCGCCGTCGTAACTTTTGCCATTCCATTAAGTTATGTGAGAAAAAATTATGTCTTTTTCTTAAATTCAAATTTTCTAATCCTGATATCTTTGCAACCTTTTGGTGTAAACACTTTAATATTTTAAACTTGGAATATCAGATCTAACATAATTCATAGTTTGAATTTAATGTTATTGTATCAGAGTTTGTGGCAAAGACTGAATTCTTTTCTGTAGGTAGACAGTACATTAATTGTTGTGGTACCAAAGTTACAAACCTAATACAGTATGAATTTTTGAATTCCTGTATTGCAGAAACCGGTTTTATGGCCTGGCACGGATTAGACGGAGTAATACTCTATCGTTTGACAAAACAAAACAAAAAATGTTTCATTAAATAATTTTTTGTTTTGTTATTTTTTATCATTTGCGTATTTGTGCGTATTTGATGTTAGTGATGGGCATTGATTTTATGGTTTTAGAGCCGTTTTCAGACATTTGGGTTTTTCACGTTAAAAGTGTTTGCCAAAAAAGTGAAAAAGTGAGTTGTTGATAAAGTTGCAAAACCGTTTTCATGATAAGTTTGGTTTAATTGCATTATGCGAATTTTTTATCAAGTCAAAGCTCGTTTTGGTTAAAATCTTGAGTCAGAATAAAAATTGTGTATGATGTAAATTTTTAAAAATGAGTGTTATCTAGTTAAGATACTTTTGTTTTCCCATTCCCCGGGGAGTAGATTTTACAGCTCCTACTCCCCTTATTCCCCGGGGAGTAGATTTTATATCTTCTACTCCCCTTATTCCCCGGGGAGTAAATTTTACATCTTCTACTCCCCTTATTCCCCGGAGAGTAGATTTTAAAGCTCCTACTCCCCTTATTCCCCGGGGAGTAGATTTTACATCTTCAACTCCCCTTATTCCCCGGGGAGTCGATTTTACAGCTTCTACTCCCCTTATTCCCCAGGGAGTAGATTTTACATCTTCTACTCCCCTCATTCCCCGGGGAGTAGATTTTACATCTTCTACTCCCCTCATTCCCTGGAGTAGATTTTACAGCTCCTACTCCCCTTATTCCCTGGGGAGTAGATTTTACATCTTCTACTCCCCTTATTCCCCGGGGAGTAGATTTTACATCTTCTACTCCCCTCATTTCCCGGGGAGTAGATTTTACAGCTTCTACTCCCCTTATTCCCCGGGGAGTATATTTTAAATCTTCTACTCCCATTATTCCCCAAGGAGTAGATTTTAAAGCTTCTACTCCCCTTATTCCCAGGGAAGTATATTTTACAGCTTCTACTCTCCTTTTCTCCACTTCTTTAAAATTAATTTTAATATTTAAAAACAGCCTCAAAACAATATCCCCATTAGTAGTTATAATATGCAAAAGATTAAGAGGCAAAATTTAGAAAATTTATATTTCGTTAAAAACTTAATAATTATTATTTTAATTATAATTAATATTTTTAGTCTGGAATTCTTGTGAAATGGATTATTGCTTTCTATCTTTGTTGGCTGGAACATGCAGCAGGTATACAGGGTGTCCCAATAAACATAGGAATTAAATGACGCGCAGAATTATTTTATGAATAAAATTTTATTAGTCTCCCAGTTAAAACAGTTATAAAATATAAATGATAGTATTGTGAATTCCAAATGGGGGCTAATCATTTTGGTTACTTTGATATTGACTGAGATATTATAAAGCTTTCAATTTATAGATAAAAACAAAATTGTTCAAATCTCCGTCAATTTTGAAGATACAAAGACGATAAAGATCAGCTATTTGAAGCCGAAGATGATTTTCAATTCTTCTCTTAATTCCCATGTTTATTGGGACACCCTGTACACAAATAAAGATTAAACACAAGACTTATTCATTAAATAATCAAGATTCTAGTTACAAAGACTCAAAAATGAAAACCTCCAAATAAAATGATAATAATAAATGAATATATGAATACACAGCCACTTCTTAGCTGAAGAACAAAAAAATTAATATCTAGAAAAATCATGAAGTCATAAATATTGTTTGAAATTTAAACTTTTCTCTTTTAAGAAAACATTAAAAAAAGTTATTTCTCGTCGGTACCAGAATTGACAAACAGGATTTTTTTTAAGCTTTTTAATAACGAAAAAAAAGTAGATTTGTTTTTTTTTGTTTCCCGCATTTTTACTCTCCACTTCGGGATCTCTTAGAGAAAAGGTTTTCTTATTAGTCGAAAGTCATCTTTATTGTTTTGGAAAGTTAATTGCAGTTGCGTATACTCTGCGTACATATTGAAACCAGTTCTCTCTGGGCGGAATTTGTAAACAAGAATAGATGCATCAGTGTTCGTTTAGTATCCTAGGAGGTTAAAAGCATTGAATTTTGATAATTTTGATAATTCACATAATAGTTTCCTATGACCAGAATATTTCATTGATTATTTATGTGAAAGATGTCAGGCTTCGACATCCGTATTGTGTTTACATTACCGCCCAGAGACAGTACACTGCAGTACAAAAGATGCGTAAACCTCTGAAATAACTTTCCTTGCATTAAATCCTTGACTGTATCCAACCACATTACTACTTTTAATTTCAATTTTTGATTTCTACCAAGCTTGGATACACATAAATATGAAAACAATGAGAAGCTACCATTTCCAGCTTCTCTTTGTTTACTTGTAAACTTGTCATTTTTAAAAAGTTTGTTAAAAATTAAAACTTTAATAGAAAATTCGTCTTCATTGTATTGATATAAACGCCGACCATAAATATTACGTAATATCACCACATTTAATTAGATTTAAGTGTCATCCCTAGGTGAATGTGGAGCAAAGGATGAAGGTGAATGTGAGCCAAAAGATTGCATGAAATTAAACGATACTGTGGATGCAGTGGGGATACTTGGAATGAAAATATTGGCTGAAATGAGCAAAAGATCTGATAATAATATAGCTTTTTCTCCATTAATTATTGCCTCCGCAATGGCAATGGTAAGAAACTCGCATTTAAAATATTTAAAAAATAAGATATTAAAATGTTTGTTTAGTTTTAAGCTTGGAAAAAAAATTTCCCGTTTTTTAGCATTCAATGTTTTTTTGGCTTTCAGAGAGCTCCAAAGAAAGTTGCAAAGTCTATTAAAATTTCTAAAATGTTCTGTAAAAGTTTGCTTATATGACATGTTGGTCAAATAAGACCCAATTATTAGTTATAAAACGTTCAAATATGTTAAACATCTATGATATTGTCTGGAGCCTTCTGAAATCCAGAAACCCTAGAAAGTTCATAACACCCAAACATTTTATTGTTTACAAGTTTTCACTTTAAACTAAATACAAATATTTTAGATTTAAATCTTACAAGGTTTCACTTTAGACTAAATATAATTGTATTTTAGATTTAAATCTTACAAGTTTTCAATCATAACTTTACTCTAACCAAAGAACTATTGAGAAGAAAAAATGTTTGAATTTCTATTATTTAACCCGCATCGGACCGAATTTAAGAATTTGAGCTACGTCGTTAAACCACCTACTGCCGCCTCTTATTTCTATTACTGATTCAGTTAAAGATTCAGGAAGGATTTGAATCGGGAATTCAAATAAGAGCCGGCGGTAGGCAGCTCCAATTCATTAAATTTGGTCTCACATAAGTTTATCTCATGCTTGTGCCTAAAGTAAAAACTAGAGATGCAATAAGGTCACAAAGCCCAATCAGGAATTTTGCTTAAATTTGACCGTCTTCTTCTGTATAATTCAGTGTACTGTTCCAATTTACCTTCTTATTAGATGTATGCAGGGGCAGCGGGAGAAACTGAAAAACAAATGAAAAAAGTTTTAAAAATATCAAAAGATTATAAGGTTTGTGCATAATAATAATAATAGAATTGGCTCCTTGCCTTTTAAAAAAAAAGATAACATGCAGTCTAGATTTGAATATAAAGGAAATGAACACTTGCGTCAACCTAAGAAAACCGAGGGTCTAATTTTTATTTTTTTAATATACACTTTTCTTGTCTGGGTGGGTGTTTGTGTGTTAGGGTGTTCGTATCGAAATTTCAAAAATGTGTGCTTAAAGTTTTTTATTTATGTAAAAATTTTTTTTAAAATGCGCGAAAAAAAATATTATGAAATCCGCAAACTTTTTTGTTTTGTTTTTTATTATATACTGTACAAAGAGAAGATGCTCACAGATAAAGCCACAATTAAAAGTTAAACCTTCGCATTTTTTTGAGAATGTTTTTGATCGCTGGAAACCCTATAGTCGCAAGTGTTCACTGCTCAGTTCTGTTAAGGAGGCTTAAAGGCCGGATTGCAATGATGTTTTGAAAATTTAAATTACTAGGCTTTTAGGGTGCTTCGCGCCCATCTTCTATCTAAATTGTGAACATGGTCTTTTTGTTTACATTTTAAAACAAAGAAGAAAAAAATTTTGCGGATTTTAAAAAAAAATCGCGGATTTCCAAGAATTTAAATTTTTTTACAAAATTAAAAACCTTTGAAACACATTTTTTAAAATTTTTATCATTCATAAACCTTACCTGTGGTCCCTAGATGTCCCACAAAAAAATTTGGGCCCGATCGGTTCAGCCGTTTTGACGTTTATTGGATACAAACAGACAAACAAATAGACAGACAAGCCAAATTTATATATAGATTAGTTGAAAAAAATGCTAATAGTTTGATTTAGGTTTATAACTTTCAATCCCAGAAGTAACTAATTTTTAAAACTTTAGCAATAAAAATAATTGTTCAACATATATGTTTAGAACGAGTATAACGCCCTATTAGGATCTTCTAGTTCTAGGCAGGGTGTAACTTTAAATGTTGCAAATTCTGTCTTTACTGAGGTAATTTTTTGTCAAAGGAAGTTTTCAACTCAATTTCTTGGCACTGAAAAATTGTGTGAATTCTTACGTTTTTATATCTTTTTTTCTACAGTTTAAACCAGAAGTCCGGAGACATCGAAATAATTTATAAAATTTTGTATTCTCATAATACTCAGACTGCAGATATTTATTTTTTAATTGAATATTTTATAAATTCTTTCGATGTTTTCGAAGTTCTGGTTTAAACTGTATTTCAAATGAATTCTCTTTATTCTTACCTTTTCATATTCATAAAGATATTAATAACCTTCACGAAGCTATTTTTCTAGAAATGTATTAAAATTGAGGATGATTTTGAATCGGATGTAGAATGTTATTTTAAGGTAATAGAAAGACCGAGAGTATACAAACATTCAATTATTTGTTTAAAAAACAAGAATTATAAAATTGTTGGTCCAAAAATAAATTGATTAATATTTTTAATTATTGAGAAATTACGAATAGGGAAAAGTTATAGACGCAGATTTCAAAGAGAATCCGAAAAATGAAACTAAAATAATAAACAGGTAAAAAAAATCAGCATCATTTGCTAATATCAAAGAGAATAGAATATATATTAGAGGGGAATTAAAAGAATTTCTCGGTATGAATTTTTTCAGTCCCTTTCAGTCTGAAAGGGAGTTCAAAGTGTACAAATCATGTAAATGTTCACAAATTATATGCAGTAGAGTACATTAATACAGTATGTTCCCTTCCATATAAGACCATATTGACCTCTATTAATGACCCTAATATACAATTTTTGCAAAGCTTTCTAGTTTCTAAGAAATAAACTGCTTAATGTTAACTTTTTCATTTCTGAAAATCTATTGAGGAGCGCGCATGCCGCAAAACACGTTTGGGTGGCGTTTGTTTACTTATGCACTCCCCCCTCCCCTCATGCAGCTCATCTAATGGCCGCTTCTATATGTTCCGTATAGAAAAGACGCACTTCCGTCTAGTGTTCTCAACTGCCTGGCTAGAAACAGCTGATACTTTTCAGTTTTTTTCAATTTGCCATTTCTTTTTGAAACATTTTTTAAATCTTCCAAAATCCAAAATGAAACAGCCATAATATTTTAGCTCGCGTTGTTATTGTAGAGCTTGTAGATTGGTAGAATTATTATTTACTGCGCAATGTCCTTAAATCTCAAAAATTGGAGCAAAAAATCTCAATTTTCAGTTGGATAAAGGAGAAAACTAATGGAACAATAAAGGTAGAAATTAAATTGGCAGAACAAACTCAGCAAGGACCAACTTCAGAAATCAAAACTTTTTTGAACTTTTTTCCACCTCCTAATGTTTTTAGCCCCCAAGCCTGATCTAAATTCAAAATGTAGCTCCTTGCAGCTTGCAGCACCTCAGAAGGCCTTAAGCTTGAAAGACTTTATTTTGGAAATTTTGGAAATTTGATCATTTATTTTATTTTTTTGCAAGAATTGATAACTCTACTGAAACAAAGACTAAAGGAACCATTATCAGGCGCGCATATTCAGGGGGGGCAGCGGGGGCTAATGGGGCTCAATCCCCGCCCCCACCACCCACCCCACTGGACCAGCAAAATCTATAGTTCTCAGGAATTTGTCAGATCTCAATGGGTGCTACTGCTAAGTCCCCCCCCCCTACTGAAAAGGAAAAAAATAAGCCCCCCGGACAAATTCCTGAATATGCCCTTGGCAGTTATTGAATTATTTTGAACCATTATGTAATTTATTTTAGATGAGATGATGTTTACTTTAGGATCTTCTGTCACGAAATAAGATTACTACAAATAGTAGTATGGCGCTTATTAATGCGATCTACTTCCAAGGTTGGTTAGCCAAGAATCGTTAGCTTGATTCTTACATAATATTTCATTCCTGTTTTGAGGATTTTTTTGATAATGAAGACGACATGTTCCATATTTTCCGGTGGATCCGCATTTGAACTACTGCCGTTTGAACTATGGTACGTTTGAACTATTGTTCGTTTGAACTATTGTTCATTTGAACTACTGACATGACGTCATATTCTGTAGTTTAAATCAACGCATTTCTTGCTCATTTGAACTATTTTTCTACCCTAATTCAGTTTTAAAATTTTTTTTATAATCTCCATAAAGTTATATTCATGACAATTAATTAGATAAACATTACACAGAATGAACATAAAAACAGTTCAAATGAACATAAAAATAGTTCAAATGAACATAAAAATAGTTCAAATGAACATAAAAATAGTTCAAATGAACATAAAAATAGTTCAAATGAACATGAAAATAGTTCAAATTAAATAGTTCAAATGAACAAAAAAAAATAGTTAAAATGAACAAAAAGTAGTTCAAAAGGACAAAAAAATAGTTTAAATGAACAAAAATATTAGTTCAAATGAAAAAAAATAGTACAAATGAAATAGTTTAAATGAGAAAAAAATAGTTAAATTTCAAATAAAATATTAGTTAAAAAACACTTAAATAGTTCAAATGCGATTTACTCTTACTCTCAACGTGATATTGCCCGGCCCATATGACTGTCTCCTCCCACGGGCCTTCAGCTTCTTCGGCTGATCCACAGCTGATTACAATACAATCCACCTCCACCAACATGTGCCATTGGCAACCATGTGGATAGAGTGGAGATAGTTTTATGTGATATTTGTGTCCGAAATTACAGTTTCAGTAACCAATACAAGATATAAGATTTAGCGAGGGGGGGGCAAGATTTCTGGCCCCCACTGGCTGTTTCTTGTTTCCCCTGGAATATTCTTGGGGTCTGTTCTTTCATTTGAACTATTTTTTTGTCCATTTGAACTATTTTTTGGTTCATTTGAACTATTTTTTTGCTCATTTGAACTATTTTTTTGTCCATTTGAACTATTTTAATAAGAGATAATAAAAATCAGAATAATAAAAACAATCAAAGTAGTACTAATAACAATAAGAATACATTTAATAATAAAAAAAAGAAAATTATAATGATGATAATAATAATATAAAGAAGAAATTGAAAATAATAATGATATCACTAGCTTTAATAATGCATGATTTTGATAATAATGATGTTGATCATAATAATCGTAATACTCTTATAATAACAGTGATTTTTAAGACAATAAACTATAGATAATCATTGTTTTTTTTCTTTAGGAGACGAAGTCTCAATGTACATAGGGACTTGTTAGAAAACAAAAATCAAATGACATTTTATCGTTGAATTCATAAGAACAACTTTAAACCTCTGTTGTGCATTCTAACTTTGGCTGGAAAACTTTAAACTAAAGTAAACAAAAGTACAAATATAAACCTTAAAAATTCTAATGTGTCAAGTATTTCCGAAGCTGAAGGGAGACACTCCACTAAAAACCTACATGGAATCAGTGATGGAGAATAAAAAGGAATTCCTGGATCAACTAGACTATACCAAGGAAAGGTGTCCACCCTGCTCAAAAAATCTAAATCTATTTATTTCAAAAAGTTTTAAACCTAGATTTATGGCTTATGTGTACAAAGAAAACAAAAAAATACTAATAACAAAATCTTTTAATTAAAGATATGAAAAATACTATTTTTAAAGCTGCCATGTTTTGTTCAAATATCTAATTGAATAATACTAAAAATGAAGATATCTTAAAAATCAATGCTGGATACCTAATTAGATGACAATTCAAATGATAAGGCTTCTTTTGCCAAAATTTAAAATCGAGGCTTCTGTTCCACTTAGAGCTGTTTTCAAAAAGATAGGTATGTGTAAAAATAATCATTTATGATTTTTAATTAATTTTACCCTTTTTCATTTTAAAGCAGAGCTAAAGTACAAACTTTTTAAATCTTCCAACTATTAAAAGACCAAATTTTTTTCTGACGAATTCTAAAGCATTTTTATTTGTCTTTATTTTTACCTTTACAGACCTAGGTTATTTAAAGTTTTCAGATTAAAAGCAAGATTATTCACAATTTTCTATAGGATGTCTGTGATATGTGATTAATACAGTGGTAGGCGATTACATCAATACAATAAAGACGACTCTCGATTAAAATTTTGATTCATATCAAGCTGTTAAATATCATGAATAGACATAAACATAAAAGTCAATTAAAAAAAGATTCTCTTTAATCACTTTTAAACTTGTAATTTGAAAAAAAAACTTGCTAACAACCAAAACTTACAGAAAAGTTGTCGTCATTGTATTGATATAATCGCCTACCACTGTAGAGCAGAGAAATTGTCTCTAACTCAATGAGACAAATGTCTTTCTTATGATTTCCCAATAATAGAATAGATGTTATTATTGCTCAAAGTAAATCAGCAACTATGGGATAAAAGTAAAGCCTAGTTAGTAGATCTGCTGACAGAAAATAATAAAATCAACCCTAAGGTTTTTGATAATATTTTTCTTTAAAGGAATGAACCTGGCCTTTAAAGAAAAGAAAGCAGAGTTTACTAATCTTGCCAAAACTGATGATGTTTTCATTTCGAATGCAGTGCATAAAGCTTATATCGAGGTACCTTTAATTCTTTACTTTTAATACGAGATATTGATAAGAAATCCAATGCTATGAGAAACCTGGACAATGCTGGGGAAGTCCGATAGTGACCACTCCTGTATGCCAAGTCCATTAGCGCCTGATCGATCATGGTTCAGTCATGTGTTTGTTGTCTATTCTGAACCAATGAAATAGTATGGCGGTAACATCTATCTTTCTATCTATCTCATTATCCAGAGATATGAATCCTTCAATCGGCGCTATCAGTAAATGATATATTTACTTCTACTGAAACTATGGTGTGACTTACAAGACAAAAATTCAACTGCCGTTTTTTGCTCTTAGGTAAATGAAACTAGAACCGATAAAGCACCTAAAAGTAAGTAAAAAAAATGTATGTAAATTAAAAAATTTCGCTTTTGGTAAATTATCATGAAAAGGAATTGAGTCTTTGCCGCAAACTCTAATATTATAATCCTTATGTCTGAGCAATCCAATGTTGGTTATTTAAAACCGTGAGCTCTGTTAGATAAAATAATCTATGTTTGAAATGGTATAGGGTTACACCATCAGGTTGCAAAGATATATGCATTAAAAAGTTTGGTTTTGTGGCAAAGAATTTACTTTGCAAATATCTTAAAATATAAAACGCCGATGCCAATCTTGTAAAAGTATAAGTAAAAAAGGCATTTTCCCAAAGGCAACTTCCCAAGTTACAATTTTCCAAGTTTCAACTTCCCAAAATTTGCAATTTCCCGAGCAGCAACTTAAGCGGCGATGTAAGGCCATCTGAGGCGCTGCAGGCTGCAACGAGGGGCAAGCGCTGGGGCCTGGATGGGCTAGGGGTGCGAGCGCTGCGGCTAGAATATGCTAGGGTCCAAGCGCTGCGGCTAGGACAGAATTAGGAAGCTGCCGCTTGGGAAATTTCACATTTGGGTCGTTGTCACTTGGGAAAATACCCTTGGAAAGTTGCCACTTGAGAAAATGCCTTTGGGAAAGTACCAAACATCAAAAGAACAGGAACCCTTCCTAGGATTATATAACCAGATCTTAATATCCTTATAGAGCGGACTTGGGCCTGGGTGGCCGAGCCCAGATTTTGAAAAAATCCGTTTTTCTTAAAGGAAAACTCTGATTTACTAATCCTATTATCTTTACAATCCAATCTCGTAAACCTTAGATATTTCAAACTATGAATTCTGTTAGATGAAGTATTCTAAGTTTGAAATATCAAAGGTTCCATTCGGTTGCACAGATATAGGGATTCGAAAATTTGAGTTTGCGGCAAAAACTCAATTCCTTTGTCTCAGCAAAGTTTGTCTTCCTTAAGTTTGTTCTGTTAGTGTGTTTGTTACCGAAATGTATAATTCTAAATTATAAATTGTGTTTAGATTCTAATAATAGTTTTGATATAAAAGTAAATGTATAATTCTAAATTATAAATTATGTTTAGATTTTAATAATAGTTTTGATATAAAAGTTAATGTATAATTCTAAATTATAAATTATGTTTAGATTCTAATAATAATTTTGATATAAAAGTTAATGTATAATTCTAAATTATAAATTGTGTTTAGATTCTAGTGTTATTTTTGGTATAAAAGTAAATGTATAATTCTAAATTCTAAATTGTGTTTAGATTCTAGTGATATTTTTGCTATAAAAGTGAACAGACCATTTATGTTCTTCATCAAGGTAATGATATTTTTTCAAAAAAAAAGACAAATCCTGAACAAAAATTTAAATTTTCAAAAATTTATTTTTATTTTATCATTCTAAATTTCAAAGTATTAGTTCTTAAGAAATGTTATTTGCTCGTTGGAACTGAGCTGGGAACTATAGAATGGATAACCTTTAATCCCAACTACTTAATCCGAATATACACTGTGGAAACTTTTAATCTTAGTCAGTGGCGTAAATAAGGGGGGTTATTGGGGTTATTTACCCCTTCTAGTATCCTGGGGGTAATTACCCCCCCCCCCCTCCCTAGCATCTTGGAGGTAACTATTCACATTCAGACCCTGAATAGCAAGTTGTTGCTTTGTTTTTGTTTTTGAAAAAAGGTTGATTTTAAAATTGAATATCATTTAAAGGAATTGAGTCTTTGGAACAAAATCAAATATTTAAACCACAATATCTTTAGAAATCGATCTTGTAAACCTTTGATATTTCAAACTCAGATTATTTGATCTAACAGAATTCATAGTTTGAAATATTTAAGGTATGAAACATATGGTTCCAAAGATATAGTGAAGATATTTCAGATTTTCAGTCAACATATTCTAAATGATTCTAAATTCTAATGTCATTACAATTAGATGTTTTTAATAAAAAAGGGTATAGGCAATGAAAAGTACATTTTTACTTCTAAATAATGTCATTTCCATTCATTTCCATATTAGATTTATTTAAGATCTTAACAAACTACATTGACGAAAGGAAAATTTTAGAAATAAGAAAAAAGACGATATTTTTTCAAAGTTTTGCAGATCTTTGTAGTTAATGTAAAATGAATGACTATAATGAAGGATATAAAAACAAGGTGAAAGCCATGAAAGGTATGAAATGGAGCCTTTATTTGATGGAGTTTGTGAATGCCAGAAATGAGTGGAAAATGCAAATCAAACCCAACTAAAACCAATATTTTGATATACATCATGATATTTTTATAGGGGGGATGGGTAAAAAAAATTCTAGGGGGGGTAAAAAAAATTTCAAAATTTCCCCCCCCCCCTACAGAATCCTTATTTACGCCCCTGATCTTAGTCTTTAATCGACTCTTTTCTCCCTCTTTGAATATCCGCACATGGTTTACTCCAATGAGAGTGCAAGAAATAGATTATAAATTGTATTGACCAATGACAGCCTTGAAAATAAATTCTATTCCATGAGAGAAATTCGCAATTTCTAACAAATAAAGAATTTGTTAGAAATTGTTGTTGTTAAGTGACGGCCCTTCCAGTCAAGAAAACCAACAAATCTGGCGTTCTTTGAATCAAATTTGTTGATCTAAATATTTAATCTCGAGACTAACATAATCTCGAGATTATGTTAGTCTCGAGATTAGCAAAAAGAGAGGATTAAGCATTAATCCTGATTTACATCATTCTATAAAAGTTCCGAGCTCTGAGCTGAAAACTTTAGAATGGTGGATATAGAGATTAATGCTTGATCTTCTCTTTTTCTTAATATCGAGACTAATCTAATCTTGGCCTTGTATCCTGAAAAGTGTGAAAAATTCAACCAATCAGTGTCGCTTAAATGAAGCCGATAAATTTGAAATTTTGCAGGCCATTTAAGATTAATCCACAGAAACAGGAGAAACTCTCTAATTTTAAAAACAGGTTTTTGATTTTTCTCCACTATATCCAAGAAAGAACGGTTTAAGAAGAAATTCAAAAGTGTGTTCATTGGAAACTCAGATTAAGTAATCGAGATTAGGGATATCTTATTCTAAAGTTTTCAGCTCTGGTTACATAAATTACTTTTAAGTTAAAGGGTGTCATATATGATTCACAACAGTACCTTTTTTTCTTGATCAAGGTTAATCTCCACCTACATGGATTTTATACATATTCTACATGTAACGATCTAGCCCGATCCATTAATCAAATAATTGCCTCAAACTCTAATACTTCAGTCAATCCTGTCTATACTATCAGCTAAACAGTCAAACTCTAAATACTAGCCGTCTACACAGGCTTTAACACGTCCGTATATATACAATATATACAAAGATTGATATTGAACTAATTTATTGATAACAGGTAAATAGGTTGACCGGTCGGGCCGGTCAGAGTACAAACTAACATCATAGATAAAATAGATGGAAGAACTATACAACTGATCCTAAATTTGCTACATACAGAAGTGCAAACAAACTGCTAAAATTTCATTCCTGATACAAAAACTAAGAAATGTACTCTTCAAGTTTATTATAGTGGTATGTGGGTGACATTGTTCTAAAATATTCCCTTGAAATTGATTTGTAAAACGTCTAAAAACAAGTTATTGAATATTTGCATTATTAGGATGAGATGACAGGAGTAATTCTATTGCAAGGAGCTGTACGAGATCCAAAAATAAAAATTGTTTAATGATGTAAAAATGGCTTTCTATTTAAAAATATATATTAAAAATGTGAATTTTATTTCTTATTTCATGGTTTCAGTAATTTATTGAGAGAGAAAGAACTGGCTAAATATCGGTTTGCATTTGAAAGAGACCGGCGATACTTCTGTCCTACTATACTTCGAACCTACTCGTACCTACAAAATGTGAAAAAATTTACATTCTACCTGTGAAAAGCTTCCATTCGACCTACAAAAACTGTGCATCTGACATACAACAGTTTTTCATCATACCTACAAAATTGGTGTATCGAGGAACAGCTCCTTAGGGTAGTAATGCCAACTTAATGTACTGGCAGGATCTGCAGTTGATCCAAAGTATCGTCGGGCGGAAGTATCGAAGGATGACAATTGCGTAGGGCCGATGAAATATTACCTGAATTCTTAGATTTTATAACTGACTGAATATAATCACGAAACCTTGATACTAAACTATTTCACCTCGAAACCTCGAAAGTAAATCATATTATATACTATACGTATAGACAAATGCACTCAATAATAAATACGTACGCGTGTGGAAATTTTTGTCTTCAAATTTTGGAGAGCTTGGCTAAATTTTGTTAAAATTTGCTTTCATTCACATTTCGAAATAGGTTTAAGTGCAGTTGTAAATTATCAATTTAGAAAATGCACTATTTCTACATTTAGTGCAATAATGCTCAAAATATGTTTTATACTTTTGACCTTCATAATAATAGAGAATGGAAAATATTTTTGTCAAAACAATCCCTTTTTATGTGAAGGCATGCAACAAGACAAAGTTTGAGTTTGTGCAGAAAACTATCCAACTAGCTACAGATCAAGTTTTGTTTATAGCAAATTGAAACCTAAAGATAAAACCAGTACTTGTTTTTTGGACATATTTGTTACATGTTCGTTTACGAGAGCTTTGACCGAGATCGTCTTTTTCCGGTCTTAAAATGTTCGTTTCGTTCGTTTTCAACAATTAACGAGAGTCTTGAGTAAGATTGTTTTTTCCGTTCCAAAAATGTTCGTTTCGTTTTTTTATTAATAATTGTTCATGAATTAAACCGTTCGTTAATGTGTGGATTGTTAACAATAATTTGATCGTTAACGATAATTGATAATCAACGATTTGTTATTTTTAACAATCTCTTTTATTTTATGAAATTAATTGTTGGCTATAGTTTTCCTTTGAAACAAATTTTAAGATGTATTAAGAATATATTTGAAAAATGGTTAAACATTGATATTTTTTTATTACATTTCGTTATATATATATATATGTGACGATAGGGAATGAGAACAAATTTTTACATTCAAAATGTTTTCGTTCCTAGAATTCGTTAATAAACGATCATTCCAATTTGTCAAAGATATTGACAAATTGTTAATTTTTTCAAAAGATGTGTTTTATCAGGGCCCAGTCCTTAAAAAACTGGCAAAGAAAATAGTGATGGGAGCATAATTTTGGGTTTAATAGTGCCCTCAGATTATAATACTGTATACAGAGGAGTGAGAGTGCAGGTTGAAGGGAGAAGGACAGATAATACTGTATACAGAGGAGTGAGAGTGCAGGTTGAAGGGAGAAGGACAGATAATACTGTATACAGAGGGAGAAATATGGAAGAACAAGCGACATCATTGTGAGATATAGTATAGACCTAATTTGTGGCATATTACTGGTGCGACTTTGTGACATTCATGCCTTCTCATATTTAGATTTGCCACAAGTATAAGAAAAAATTAGCATATTAGACATTTTTTCAATAAGATTGAAAATGTATAAGATCTCAACTGCTTACCTATCCAAAAACATATCTTGATATGTGTAACCAATTATATTCAGTATCGTTAATTAACTACGAGCCACCCAAGCTGCAAAGTAAATTGTGATTGCTTATTTGTAATATCTCATGCTTTGTGGTTGAATAAAAATATGAATGAATAGTTACATCACCAAAAATGTTTGCCCTCCAGGCTCATTGCTATAGTATGCAGACTTGTTAGCTCACTAATATTTTCGCAATATTATAACAAATGTGAACCCTTACTCCTTCAGTTTATAATTACAGGATATCCCCCCCCACCATATACACCAGGATACCCCCC